CTCTGTTAAACTTCTTGTTTTATTCATGTATTATTTTTCTTATTTCATTGAATTGTCTTCATGTTTTCTTGTAGCCTGCTGAGCTTCTTTATATCGACTAATTTGAATTCCTTATCTGGCAAATCACAGATCTCCACTCCTTTGGGATCAGTTACTAAAGAATTATCATGTTCCTTTATTTTTCATGTCCCATGAAGTGTTGAATGGCCATCTTCACATGTGAAGAGGCAGCCATCTCTTCCAGTCTTTAGTGATTGGCTTTGAAGGAGAAATAGCTTCTGTCAGTTCTACCAGGGATTCTGAGGCTCTTCCAGAACTTTTCTATTGATATACCTGTTTCATATTTCTTGATCCCTCCTAGGGGGGAATTCTTAAGATTCTCTGCCTTCTCTTTATCCTACAGAGCTAGGCTGAGTGCTGAGAGCCTCCTGTTTGCTTTCCCTTGGGCACTGCTGAATGTTCAAATCTGTGTACTTTCTCCCAGTCCTGCAGAGTCAGGATTTCTGCACGTGCTCACCAGGCATCTGCAAAGGTTCACTCTCACCACCTTCTGGGGTGTGCACAGGGATCCAGCCATGGGTTAGGTGTGTGTGTAGGTGAGTTATACAGAACATTGGGGATGACTTGGTTTCACATTTTAAATTACCATTAAATCACCAGTCCCCAACCTCTTTGGCACCAGAGACCGGTTTCATAGAAGACAATTTTTCCACAGACCAGGGCCGGGGGGATGGTTTTCGGATCTTTCAAGAGCACTACATTTATTGTGCACTTTATTTCTGTTATTATTACATTGTAATATATAATGAAATAATTATACAACTCACCATAATGCAGAATCAGTGCAAGCTCTGAGCTTGTTTTTCTGCAACTAGATGGTCCCATCTGGGGGTGATGGGAGGCAGTGACACTTGAAGTGTGTTGCTTATGTCCAGTCTGCTCCATAATCTCGTTTTGGTTGCTGTCACTGCAGAAAACCCTGCTTCACAAAGAAAGGATGTTGGAAATGGAAGCAGGCTTTTCAGTGCTTTTGTGGCAGCCTCAGGATATTCCGCCTTGACTTTAATCCAGAACGTATGGAGATTTGAAACATACTTTTAAGGCCACCGTCATTTGTGATCTCAAGCAGCTGATCCTCTTCGAGCACCGGCAAAGTCGATTCACCTGGTTTACTCACATATGGGTCGCGGATCCATTCGTTCCCAGTTCGGGGGTCTTTTGTGGTTGGAAGTAATGCTCAAACCCTTTTGAAAGCTGAGACAGGTAATCATGCACCAGATGGGAGAAAGAAGGCCCTGGCTCAGTCTCTTTCAAAATCTCTGCTAATGTTTGAAACGTCAAAAATCCCAATGTTCACTCGTCGCCCCCATAATTCCAGTTTGGCTTTGAATGCCAACTTGAACACAGTTGTCCTTCTCCCCTGAAGTGACAGACTGACTTCTCTGAGCAGGTTGAATACGTCACACAAGTAAGCAAGTTTTGCGACCCATTCCGTGTCACTGAAATGTGCTGCTAGTGGTGACTGTTTTTCTAAAAGAAATCTCTGGAGCGGCTCTCATAACTCAAAAACTCTGACCAGTGATCTATCCTTAGAAAGCCATCTCACCTCTGTGAATAAGAAAAGACGTGTGTGCTCTGTGTCCATCTCCTCACAGAGCTGCATGAACAGACGTGAGTTAAGGGTGTGTACTTTAATGTGGTCGATAATTTTAATCACATCCTTCAAAATGTTAAGTTCAGGTGATAGGCTTCCCTGGTGGCGCAGTGGTTGAGAGTCCGCCTGCTGATGCAGGGGACACGGGTTCGTGCCCCAGTCCGGGAAGATCCCACATGCTGCTGAGCGGCTGGGCCTGTGAGCCATGGCCGCTGAGGCTGCGCATCCGGAGCCTGTGCTCCGCAACGGGAGAGGCCACAATGGTGAGAGGCCCACGTACCACACAAAAAAAATTAAGTTCAGGTGACATTTTTCGGCTAGCCAGCATTTCTCTAAGTGCATAGACTCACATTCAGAAGTGACCTCTTTGACCTGAGTAGTGAAACCAGAAAGCCGTCCAGTCATGGCAGCCACTCCGTCCGTGCATATACCGACACAAAATGACCGATTCAGTTTCCCTGATATGTAATCATTCAAAGACTTTAATAGTTCTGCAGCTGTGATGTTGGCTGGCAACAAAAGTGCACATAACATATCCTCATACACATCCTCCTGAAAAATATATTACACAAAGACAAGCATTGCTGCCTTGTTGTCAACATTGATAGACTTGTCAACCTGGATTGCGTACCATGGTGACTCACTAATCCTCTCTAACAATTGTGCCTAAATATCCTCTGCTATTTCATCAATTCTTCTAGTTACAGTGCCAGCCAAAAGAGGAACATGTGCCACCTTTTGAACTGCAGCCTCTCCTAAAAGTTCACGATCAATGTCCTTCGCAGCAGGCAGGATCGACTCTTTACCAATAGTAAAGGGCTTAGCTTTAGCAATGTGGTTAGCCACTAAGTATGATGCTCTCAGTGCAGACACATTTGATGAAGTGGTAGACTTCAATAATTGAACTTCTGTTCTTTGTATTCATTTTTTTTTCTTTTGAAAAACCCCAAAGACTTGTCTTTTAATGCAGGGTGCTTGGTCTCCATGCGGTGAAGCTGTTTTGAAGGTTTCATGCTTTCATTGGATAGCCAATCGCCACATATTATACAAAGCAGGCTTGGAGAATGTGAGTCACCTGTTGCAATGAACCCGTAATTTAAGTAGGACTCTTGGCATTTTCTTCTAAATGCAGCTTTCTTTTTGTTGGCAGTCTTAGAGTTTTCTGTTGTCTCATCCTTGGGTCTTTCCACCTTTTCAAAGAAGCTCTCCAGCGATGTTTGTTTTTTACTCATGTGGGCTAGGGTTAGCTTGCGGGCTTACCAAAACTGTGACTGAGACAAGCGTGCAGTGCAGGAAAGAGGCACGGATGGAAGTGGTAAATAAAATAATGGGCGGGCCACACGCGGACTAAAATAAGTGTCGGATTCTGACTTAGAGCCCGCCATCAGATGCAGCTGTACGATTGAAGTACCATCAACTCACTTGCCACTATAAAGCCTGCCACCAAAAGCAGTGTAGTTTTCACTTACCGCTCACTCATAGGGTTTTGATATGAGTCTGCAAGCAATTGATTTATTATGGTCTCTGTGCAGTCAAACCTCTCTGCTAATGATAATCTGTACTTAGAGCCGCTCCCCAGCGCTAGCATCACTGCCTCAGCTCCACCTCAGATCATCAGGCATCAGATTCTCATAAGGAGCGCGCAACCTAGATCCCTCGCATGCACAGTTCACAGTAGGGTTCACGCTCCTATGAGAATCTAATGCCACCGTTGATCTGACAGGAGGTGGAGCTCAGGCGATAATGCAAGCAATGGGGAGTGGCTGTAAATACAGATGGAGCTTCGCTTGCCCGCCGCTCACCTCCTGCTGTGCGGCCCGGTTCCTAACAGGCCACAGACTGGTACTGGTCTGTGGCCCCAGGGTTGGGGACCCCTATGTTAAATGATTAAAAGTCATATGAGAATAGTGATTACTGAAACTGACATTTATTTTCAAAATAATGGGGGGAGGGTGGATACATAGAGGACCTTTTTAACACACCCTGCATGAGATAAGCTTTCCACCCCACTCCCACCTCATGTGCCTCGTTTTAAGAACACTCACGTGTCCTGTCTCTGCTGAACGATTTACAATCCCTGGAGGCTCTCCAAAGCTTGGGGTGTTTGTAGCATCACATGAGATAAAGAGAAAACACACTATAAACCACATGGTAGTGATGATTTTTTTTCTTTTTTTTTTTTGGCCACACCACGTGGCATGCAGGATCTTAGTTCCCAGACCAGGGATCAAACCCTTGCCCCTTGCAGTGGAAGTGTAGAGTCTTAACCACTGGACCTCCAGTGATGTCCCCATGGTGATTTAAAAAAAAAAAAACTTGGAATAAGGTTAGTAGAGAGACCACTAAATTCTGGGCTGTGCTTTGAGAATGGCTCACCTCATCTGCCTCTTCTCCTGATTATACTTTTGCTGAATATGTGGGCAATGAACTCACCTAGGTTTTAGTGAGCATGCAAGTTCCTCTTATGATTTTGCAGTTCTGTTGGTACTGAAGATTGAACCTGAAGGGCCAGGGCCAGTTTGGTGTCTGGCACTGGCATGGTAAAGCATCAGGGAGAACTCAGAGGCAGAGCAGAAGTTGGAAATGCCTCTCACCCACCAACTCTCTCATTTAGAAATGGGTTTGTCTGAGGCCACACATGAGTCAGAGGCAGAGCTGGGATGATAACTCAGGTCTTCTGATCCTGACAGCATCCCCTCCCTTACACCATGCTGTTCATTTTAGCTCTATTATCAATATTTAAAAACAAATTCATTTGAAACAATGTTTTGCTCCCAATGCAAAGTCACCAAACCAAGAAAACCCTCAAACCAGAATTACAACATGAATAGGGTAATTTCAAATCAGCAACTCCACACAGTAACTACTACATCAAGTGAAAAGGGTCTTAAGAGGTACATGGTCTTGTGGCAGAGGTGGGGGGGGGGTTTCCAGCTTTATTGAGATATAATTCACATACCATAGAATTTTCCCTTTTTGTACAATTTAGTGTTACCTAGTATATTCAGAGTTGTGCAACCATCACCACTGCATAATTTCTGGACATTTTCATCACCCCCAAAGAAACCCTGTACCCACAAGCAAGCACTCCCCATTCTTCAACCCCAGGCCCCTGCCAGCCTCTAGAAACTACTGATTTACTTTCTATGTCTATGGGTTTGTCGATTCTGGACATTTCATATAAATGAAATCATACAAATGTGGTCTTTTGTGACAGCTTCTTTCACTTAGCATATTCATCCATGTCGGAGCATGTATCAGTACTTCTTTCCTTTTTATGGCTGAACAACACCTCATGGAATGGATGGACCACATTTTCTTTGTTTTCTTTATCTATTCACCAGTGGATGGACATTTGGGTTATTTTCACCTTTTGTCTCTCACGAATAATGCTGCTATGAACATTCATGTACAAGTTCTTTTATGGCCATGTTTTCAATTCTCTCAGTTAAATACTGGGGAGGGGAACTGCTGGGTCATGGTAACTCTATTTTAACTTTTTGAGGAACTGCCAGACTGTTTTCCAAAGCAGCTGGAACACTTGACATTCCCACCAGCAGTGTATGATGGTTCCAGTTCTCTACATCCTCACCAACACTTGTTATTGTCCATCCTTCTGATTACAGCCGTCCTAGTGGGTTCTGGCAGCATTTTTATAACAGAAAGTAGCAGTTAATATACTCTGGGAAAGCGTGTTCTCCGACGAACCATAGGACCCACAGGACCTGATCAACCACAGGCAGTAGAATAGGGATAATACTGACAATACCCCTTATCCCACTGCCTGGGTTGCCCTCCCTGACAGTTAAGCACAGTGGTTCTCGAAATGTGGTCCCCAGACTGGCAGCACCAGAATCACCTGGAAACCAGTGAGAAATGCAAACTCTCAGACTCCACCCAGAGAGACTGAGTCAGAGCCTGTGGGTCAGGGCCCAGCTCCCTGTGACTCCAGTGACTGTGAGGCCTGTGCAAGCCAGGGGCAGGCAGCCGGCTGCACAGCATCTCTGCCCCTCAGTCAGCTTTAACCCCCTTACTGGTGATGATGACTGCACCAAATCCATCATCCCCTGCAAACAAGGATGACAGTGACCAAGGAAAGAGCTATTTGAAGGATTCAATCATGCAGCTCAAGTGGAAGGGCTTGACACCTTCCAGTAATGAGTGACAGATACTGTTGATATAAAATGTTCACAATAATTAATTTTGGACACAGAAAATCCAGCTGGAAGGTAAGTAGGAATTTCACAAGCACCATCCAAGGCAGTAACATAATCTCCATCATACTTGATATTTTAAACGTTCCTTATCCATTCAAAATTTCAAAGAACGTGCAAGCTCGCTGGGAAGGGAACGGCCCGGGAGCTTCACAGAGCAATCATTTGAAATGGTAGAGATGCCTCATCAGTACCAGTGAAATACACCGCAATACTCACCTAAAAAAGCGAGTACTACTGCTTGTTTCTTCCGTACACTGCAATTTAAAAACCTCTCTACATACATTTCTTACAAGCTTACACATTTAGGTGTTAGGGAAGCCTCTTTGTAGCTCCATTTTTGTTACTTCCTTCAGATACTGGCCAGACTCGCTGCTTCTTTGCACCTTCGCCTGAAGCCAGGCTCCCATCAAGCCTGGTTTGCTCTGGCTTAGTAACTCCTGCCAGGTGGCCAGGATAGGGAGCCGCTCACTTGTGCACACGGATGGAAGAACCACGGGTCAAAGCAGCAAAAACCTCACCATCAGAGCGGAACCACTGTAACTCTTCCATCCGATCCTTGACTCACATACCTCACCGACTGCACTGGTTTTTACAGCATCTCTCTTGTCTGAGATGTCGCGGTGTCTCTGAGTAGATTCAAAACCTTCTGGTAAGTGTCCAGGACGTCCTGAGCGGTGGGTCTCTCTGCAGGCGTCTGGCTCTTACACGCCTTGTGAATATCAAACAAGTGGAATCGGACCATGTCGCTCCCTTCTACGTGCCCCAGAAGGAAACTGGAGACGTCTGGAATCTTCCAGATGTCGATCTTCTCGTCATACGCGGGCATGAGGTCGTCGTGAAAAGGCACGTCCTCTCCGTAGGGCCACAGCTGCTCTGGGGCCACGAAGTCCCCGCGAAGCTCCCGGTGGCCACACTTCACCAGGGCCCCGGTGCTGCGGTTCACCAGGGGCAGGGCGTCCAGGTCGTTGAGCACGATGCTGAAGTTGGCGGTCAGCAGGTACTGGGACAGCGTCTTGGGCAGGTCGCTGGAGTCGCACATGACCAGCGTGCCCAGGGGGCTACGGTGCAGGAAGTCGATGATGGCCACGTAGCCCAGGGCCAGCTGCAGCCTGTGCTGCCATGTGTTCGTGCTTCGGTACTTGGAGAGGTTCAGCGTCGCCTCCAGGCTGCTCAGGGAGCCTAAGGGGTGGTACTCGGTGAGGATGCTGTTGTCATCCTCACAGTAGCCCAGCAGCGTGACAACGTGCTCACTCTGCAACGACTTCAGCATCCGCAGTCCGTGCAGGAAGTCGTCTCTTACCTCCAGCCTGGTGAGCCGCGACAAAGCCACCTTGCGTTCCTTCCACTCGGACAGAAACACCTGGAACACAGCCACAGAGAACGTCAACCCGGAACCCTTGTCAGCTGGTGAGCCAGGAAGCAACACGGCAAATGCCTCTCAGTGTCAGACGTGGTGCAGAGGACACAGACATTAGCGAGGCACAGCCTGTTCCAAAGACTTGCTCATAAGCAGGACCAGATGCCGGGTGAGGCAAATGCCCTGTCAGGGCGAAGGCCCAGCGCGGAGGAGGCTGGGCAGCTGGTCCGGGTGCTGAGGGCTGTCTGGAGAGCCCGCGGGAATGTCCTGGAAGCTGGTCTGTGGGATGACGGGGCTCGCAGGCCAGCTGTGGAGAATGGGGGGCACTCCCAGGAGAGGGGACGGCATGAACAAAGGCAGGGAGTGGCAGACAGACCAAATCAGGGCAGCACAAAGCGGGGGCGGGGCGGGAGAAGGCTGGAAAAGTGGTGAGTGGAGAGCTGGAAAACCCCACACAGGGACGGAGCCCAGCCAGCCCATCACACACAACGCCACCATTCGCTTTAAAAGGTGTCAGAGCAAACCACAAACAGGAACGACTCTACGTAAGGAATACATTTTTACACGGTCCGTGGTTTTGTGACTTCAGCTGTAACAGCAGGAGCTGAAGTGGCACACACTGGACCTGCTGTCCTGGCACACAGCTGGCAGAGGAGCCGCTGTACCACACAGCCTTGGATTCCCATTTCTATCAGCTGGCAAAGAAGAACCACAGGGGAATTCCCTGGCAGTCCAGTGGTTAGGACTCTGCACTTTCACTGTCATGGGCCCGGGGTTCAATCCCTGGTCAGGGAACTAAGATCTGTGAGCTCTGCGGCTTAGATAGATAGATAGATACATACATACATACATAGATAAATAAACAGATAAATAAATAAAGTGGTATGGAAAAAAAAAGAAATAAGAACCACTGATCTTCTGCTCGAGTCCCCAAAGGGAAGGCAGAAGGTTGCAGAAGAGACAACAGGATCCGGGTCAGGACTCCACCGCACCAGGTGGCTCCTGACCCCGTGGGCTGTGTCCCTCTGGCTTCCTCTTCTTCATTGTTAAAATAAAGCTTACGAAAGCAACTTGGGGCATATTTATCAAGAGCCTTTAACATTAAAATCTACAATCTATCTAAGGCAACAATCTGAAATACCTAAAAAGCTCTAAGAATAAAAATCTGGCATTATTTATAAAAGCATAACTGGAAGCTATCCATCCATCAAAAATCGGGGAGCAGTCCGGTTATGCAGGACCACTCAAGGAAGGTTACAGGGCTCAGCAAAATGCAGACCCTGATAGGGTTTTCACAGATAAAAGTCACGTTACAAATGAAAAGGATACAAAGTGTTTTCATACCATTGTTCTAACTGCATAAAACAAGGCAAAATTACATAGGAATCGAAGGATTTTTGCTGTTCTCTTTATATGCTTTTTTTTTTTCCTTCATACCTTTTGGTATAACTTTTCCAGAATGAATATATATTACTTTTATATTTTAAAACATTTTTTTAAAGAACTAAAAACTATTATTTCAAATGGAGGTGGGCTAGAGGACTGTGAAGATTTATTTTGGGCCTGAGAAGGGAGGTTCCTTAATGGAAAAACCCTTTAACTGCTGTTGACCGTTTATTCAAAAGAGAAATCTTTCAAGACCTTCTCAAAAACCCGAATTTGAGAAATTTCACTACGGATAATTTCTATTAAGAAGCCATATTTCTCTGGCTGCTACAGTCACTGTAAGTTTCATGAATATATATTTTATTTATTTTTATACAGAACACATTTTATTCTCTCCATAGATCTGCACCAGCACTGTATTTGATCTCTGACTCCAATATAAAAATCCTGTTTCTGGGCTTTCCTGGTGGCGCAGTGGTTGAGAGTCCGCCTGCCGATGCCGGGGACACGGGTTCGTTCCCCGGGCCGGGAAGATTCCCACATGCCACGGAGCGGCTGGGCCCGTGAGCCATGGCCGCTGAGCCTGCGCGTCCGGAGCCTGTGCTCCGCAGCGGGAGAGGCCACAACAGTGAGAGGCCCGCATACCGTAAAGCAAAACAAAACAAAACAAAACAAAACAAAAACCCTGCTTCTGTTAAGCCCATCACTCCCTTGGGCTCCCCTCCTGCTCGTGGTCGGCACCAGCACTAGCAGACGGCTTTGGTGTCCAGGCCCATTTTTCATACAAAACAGTAATCACTTTAGAGAAGCTGCCACGGTTTACGCATTTATTCAACAAGAAACGCGGGAGACGTTCGGCTACAGGCCTCGTGACTTCCTCCTGAACCCTCGTTTATGACAAATCCATTTTTGTGCCTCAGATAAATGAAAGATTAAATACTACTTATTATTAAGTAGTAATAGTCTTTGGGATCTCTCACAAATATCCGAAGCCTCCAATATTACATATTTGCAAGTTAAAGGTTAAGAATCATTTCTCAGAAACCAACTTTACCTTTTGTTTTTTAGTTATAAAAATAATCATGAATGCTTTTCTTGGTAAAAGTTCAAATACAGAAGGAGTAGAACTCCTTCCTCTGCATTTACTCCCAACCCAAAGGAAACTAGCTAACTATCTGGCTGGTAACCTCCCAGTTTCTCTATGCGTTTACATGTATTAATGTCCATTTATAAAATAGCATTGAGTTTATTATTTAAAGTGGGAATATGACAAATATATTGCAGGTGGCTTTTTTCATTTAACAGATGCCTCAGAAATCTTTCCGTAATGTATATATAGATCTAGGTCATTCTTAAAGCTGCAGAATATTTCATAGTATGGGTGTACTACTTATACTGGTATATTTTCAGTTTTACAGATGATCATTTCTTTTTTTTAAAACTAAAGTATGATATAATAAAAATTCATAAAATTTGGAACAGATGCTGTCAGAATGGATTAGGTTCTTTTTTCTACACAGCTCTATCATTTTACATAAACATTTAATAAGATCTTATGTAATCTATTTTTAAAGACTTGATAGACATTTAAACTATTTCCCATTTATTTCCTAGTAACAACAATTCTGCAATGAATAGCCTTATATTTACATCTCTGTGCACATGTGCAAGTGTTTTTATAAGCTAGGTAAGCAGATGCATCACTGAATGAAGACGAGGTGCTATCAGGACCCTTCAAAGTACCAACATGTACTCTCACCAATCGTGTATAAATCTTGTGTTCTAGAGCCTTAACCACACTAGGCGTTACCAATCTTGGTAATCTGTGCCAATCTAATGGTTGAAAAACATTTTCCTGTTCCAATCTGTATTTCCCTGATTAATGAGACTGAGCACTTTTCACCCTCTGGGCATTTCTGTATTTCTTCTGTGGAAAGTCTGTTCATTGTCCTTCATAGTATTTTCTCTAGGGTTGTTTGCTTTGTGCTTATTAATATCTAGTTCTTTATATATTATTCATGTGATCCTTTATTACAAATGTAAAGACAAATTTTAGAAGATAATTAGCTTATGTGGTCTTCTGTAGTACAATGTAAAATCTATCTTCATTCATTTAACAAGTACTTATTTCAATTAAAAAAACTGAAATAAATCCCTGCCCATATGAAATTTACATTCTAGTGCAGGAGGCGGACAAGAGAGAAAATAAATAGGAAGTGTGTAAAGTACATTAGAAGGTAAAACATGCTTTGGAGAAAAATTAAGCAGGGAAGGGTTTACAGCTTTACTAGCTTGGGGAAGCTCTCACTGGGGTGAGGCTCGAACAGGAGCCTGAAGGAGGTGGAGCATGGAGCCATGTGGCATCTGAGACCATGTCCCAGGCGGGGAGGACAGCAGGGTAAAGGCCCTGGGGTGGGATATGTCCACGGGCTGCAATGTCTGAGCAGGGGGAGGGGAGCAGAGGCTGGGAGAGGCCTTCAGTCGCCGAAAGGACTAGCGTGAGACAGGGCACCCTACACGGAGGAGCTGGCTGCTGTGAGAGCATCTGAAGGGGCAAGTGTGGAGGCAGAGAGCGCACTCTGGAGGCTGCCGAGATAATCAGGTACCAGGCACAGAGGCCTGGGCGGGGAGGGGGCCGAGGAGCGGCCAAATTCCAGGTCTCTCCTGCGTGTGGAGACACTGCAACTTGCTGAGGGACTGAACGTGGCTGTGGAGAAAGCAGGATGACAAGGGTGCCTACCTGGGCGGGGAGGGATAAATTAGGAGTTTGGGATGAACATATACACACTACTATATACAAGACAGATAATCAACAAGGACCTGCTGTGTCGCACAGGGAACTCTACTCAATACTCTGTAATGACCTATATGGGAAAAGAATCTGAAAAAGAGTGGATACATGTATATGTATAACTGACTCACTGTGCTGTACATCTGAAGCTAACACAGCATTGTATATCAACTCGACTCCAATATAAAAGAAAAATTAAATACAAAAACAAAGAATGCCTCCCGGGTTGTGGTGTAAGCAGCTGGACGGATGGGGTTGTCCTTAGGGTGATAGGGACGGTGAAGGAGGAGCCGGATAAGGGGATGGTCTGTGACATACTCAGCCTGAGAAGACATTCAACATCCAAGATGCGGGGTAGGCAGGAGGTAGAAAAGTCCAGAGTTCGTTCAGGGGATAAAGATACGGGGCTGGACGAGGCCACGCTGGCAGTGAGCACAGAGGAAAGTCCAAGGCTAAGAGGATGAGGAGGTGGAGCCTGCAGGGGAGACCGAGGGGCGGACGCTGCTATTTCATGCCACACCTGCGCTCCCGCCAGCCTTCCACAGTAAAAACAGATCACACACGGCCCTTCTAAGGGTTACACAAAACGAGAGGGCGACAGAGTAAGGGCTGAATCCATTCTTCTGATGGGAGCCAACTCAAATGTTATGGCTTTTTAACGTACCATACCTTAATTTTAAAGGAAAAACCACGTAACCAAGAAAACTCTGCTGGAGGGTTGCGCGGCTAAGTACACAGATGCTGCACGGGGCCACACCGCCTCCGCTCCCCCAGGTGGACACGAGTGGCCAGGATGGTGCCTGGTGTCCGCAAAGCACGGTGGAGTGTCCGCCCCCGGAAGCACCGGTTCTACTGCAGCCCTTCCTCCTCACGAGCACTGCTGCCCAAGTCTGTGGTTCAGAAAACAGGCAGCCCTGAGACGTGGCCGCTGCTGTCCTTGAGCGGCTGGCAGAAAACGTACCTGTCCGTTCAGTGTCATCTTGGGTTTAAAAATCCAAAAGGGCTGAACCCACTGTCACCTGCAGGCGTCAGACGGGACAGCGGGGAGGGGCAGGTGAAGGGCCTTCACCCTGGGCTCCAGCTCCTTCGAACATCCGAGCTGGATGTGCTGCGTTCATAATCAAAGGGCAGAAAAGGAAAAGCAGGGGTGCAGTCGGCCTTGCCCCCAAACCAGCTGCAGGAAAAGATCTGTGGCCCCAGCAATTCCAAACACAAACCAGAAACACAGCCTGGGGAAAGGGGGGAGGGTGGTGTGCTTGTATAGTGAGGAAACTGTCAAAGATAAGCCAGTATTTTATTTTATGTGGATTCAGCCAATGAGCCTTTGTGTTCAGGCCCCTAAAATTTGCTCTATGAACCTGCCACGGGCTAGACTTGCTCTATGAACCAGCCACGGGCTAGGTGCTGAGGACACACAGGTAACTGGTGTCTGTGCCCTCATGAAGCTTGCATTTATACAAGACAACAAACCAGATGCCAGATGGGAGGGTCCACGGCAGGGGGTGAGATGGGTTTAGAGAGGGATGTCAGGGAAAGCCTCTCAGAAGTGACATCTGAGCTGAGATCTGGACATGAGGAGTCGGGCAGACGGGGAGGAAGAGATTTCAGGCTGGGAAAGGCCCCGAGGTGAGAAAGGGCTTGTCTGATCAAGGAACAAAAGAAAGGGCAGGGTGGCTGCAGGGTGGGGTGAGGACCCAGACTGGTCTGGGTGAGTTTAGGAGGAAGGTAGGGCCCGGGTTTGGGGTTTTTCCTAAGGATGCTGTGGGTTTTAAGGAAGGGACATGTGTGGTCTGAAGTGTGTCTGCAAGACGCCTGCCTGGGGCTTGGGGAAGGGCACAGGTGGGCAGGGAGGCCGGTTCCAAGGCCAGGGACAGAGGGGTTACCCAACAAGTTGGGAAATGTTTTGAAAACATACCTGATGGAACTTGCTCTTGGCCTAGTCAGGGGGAGGTGGTGAGAGGACGCAAGCTGACTCCCTGGTCTGGCCGGCGCCACTGCGGGGAGTGCTGGCATTTACTGAGACAGGAGGGCTGGGGAAGAACGGGCTTCAGAGGGGAAATTACCAGGAGTTCCACCTTGGTCACACTTAGATTCTCAAGAGACTTCCAAGTAGACAGGTCAAGTACAGGTGGATACACAGACCTGCAGCTCAGGGGAGAGGGACGGGCTACAGGTATCAAGCTGGGGGTCGCCAGCCCATAAAATGCATTTAGAGCAATGGATAGATTAAATCACCTAAGAGTGCATCCCAAGAAGAAAAAGAAGGGGACCCTGGAAGCCACCGGGAGGAATAAGGTTTCTCAGCCTCAGCACCAGGGCCACCTCGGGCCGCGCAGCCACCTGCTGGGGATGGGGCCGTCCCCGCATGGCAGGGTGGTCAGCAGCGCCCCTGGTGTCTGCCCACTGGACGCCCGTGTCACCTCCCCACGCCCAGCTGTGACAGCCACACGGGGGTCTCTACTCATTGCTAAACGTCCCCTGAGGAGTAGCCTCGCCTCTGGGCTAAGAACCGCTGCTTGAGGCAAGAAGAGCGAACAGGAGAAGCCAAGGGGAGAGTAAATAGGAAGGGCTGCCCAGGGGAGGAAAACCAGCAAGTCGAGGAGCCCGGGCTGCAGGAAAGGTCAAGTGAGAGGCAGGCAGAGCAACATCTGGCCAGGGGTCAGCGGGAAGCTGGGTGAGAGTGTCTCCCTGGAGGTTGGTGTTTGGGAGCCTCTCAGGAGGAGGATGGAAGGGTGGATGGGTGAGGAGGAAGCAGAGGGGAAGCAACAGGGAATCACGGGAAGAGGGTTTTCTCTTTGAAAGCGCGAGCGTTTGTGTGTAGCCAGTAGGGACCACCTTCAGAGTGGGGAAGAGCAATGATGTAGGGAAGGGGGAATCATTTAAAGGGAACTTGTGAGCAGTCAGGGACGACCCCGGAGCTGGAACGTTTGTAGGTCGGGTGGGCAGATGAGGACAGGGCCTCTGGGTGGCTTCTGTTTTCACAACATCTTAGTAGCAAGATCACCAGCTAAGGAAACGTCTAAGGAAACGAGGGGGTTGTTAAAGGAAACGTCTGTCTCAGAGAATGGGAGGAAAAAGTAGCTAAGGGAAAAGAGCCTGACCCCTGGGCTGTGCTGAGGTTTGTGGTCGTGCCGGAATGGCAGGGTTGTGACGTTCCTCTCTGCCTCCAGGACAGCTGCCCAAGTGCAGATACACAGCTGGCGTCAACCGGGTGTGGGGCTTTCCCCGCCAGGCAGGATGGAGACAGAGATGCAGGGAGACATTGCCAGTGTCTACGCCAGAGTGACGAGGACACAGCAGCAGAATCTGCTGCTGGGTGAGTCAGAATGCAGACAGGCGGGAGGGTCAGAGAGGGAGAAGGGGGTGGGATCAGCCCACTGAGGCCCCGAGGAGTTACTGAAGCCGGGGCGCTAGGAAGGGCGGAGTGGAGGTCAGACAGGGATGTCAGGAACTTTGGTCACAGAAATTCCTATTGAGAAACTATGCCCCCAGAACGGGTGCCAGAGAGGAGGGATGCCCACGTAGGCGGGGTGGCCGCAGCAGGATTGTGGGAGTAGGTGCCTACCCGGAGTGTCAGGGGACTGCCCTGGGCCGGACCATGCACAGGCCCTGGGGTCCCAACGGGGCAGGACAGATGGGGCTCCCAGTGGAGCTGACATCTTGCGCTCGGAACACCTGTGACCCAAGGGCAAGTTTCAGCCAAAGAAACAAAATCTCAGTGTAACAGCCCTTTACCTTAACAAACAAACCACATTCCACATTGTTGAATCTAGTGGGCTGGGTGTCATCTGCGAGGTTCCGTAAAATCAAATCTGTCCTCAAACAATAATCTGCCACCATCGAAGCTACTCAAAAACACCCTTCAGGGTAAAAAGCAATTCCAAAAACGTTCTGAGCGAGCACAGCAGCATGGAAACAAGCGGGCAGCCCTCAGGGTCCCTCTCCGAAGGAGACAGAAATTACCTGGCTGTGAGTCCTCTACTGCTCCCCTCCCTGGTGACCGCTTAGCCCAATGCTGTCAACACCCCCCAAATCTCCATCCCCGCCCCCGAGTGCCAGACTCGTACACCCGACTGCCCGTGTCCCTGCCTGGCCACCTAAACGGCTCAGGATGGCCACCTCACACACTCACAAGGCCTCCCCGAGCAGGTGACGCAGACCCTGTCCTCCCTGCTGCCCCAGCCGGGCGCCTCTGCCATCCCCTCCCTTACACCCCACGTCCAGGCTACTGGGACGTCCTACCGTCCCCACCTTTAAGATACAACCAGAACCCACTGATTTCTTACCGTGTCCGGCGCTGACACTCATGTCGAGCTGTAGCCACCTGTCACCAAACTCCCCACGAGCCCGGCCGGGTCTGCTCTGCACACAGGCCAGCCGTCCTCCCCTCCACTCACGCTGCCCGAGGTGGTGCCTGCGGCCAGCACCCCTGGGGCACCCTCACCTCTGACGCCTTCCTCGCATCCTGCCTCTGGTCCTGGACAAGCAGGCACATCCCACCCAGGGGCGTCTGCTGGTCCCCATCTTTCTTGCTGGGTCACTGTCCCCAAGTACCACACCATTCTGACCACCTGGAGTAACAAGCCCGCGGCTCTTCCCTTGCCCCACTGGCTCAGAGCACGTCACTAACACAGCTTCCTACGCACCTGTTTCTTGTCTTCTTGACTGTCTGACTCCCCAGCCGGCTTCAAGGGCCTTTGTTCTGTCCACTGCTGCACCCCCAGCAGTGGGATCAGCCCACCGAGGCCCCAAGGAGTTACTGAAGTCGGGGCGCCAGGAGGGGCGGGGTGGAGGTCAGCACCCACTACAATGAGCACCCACTACAATGAGCGGGCGAATCTGAAGAAACCCATTACCTTCCCGTCACCTGGCTTCATGGTTTCACCTCACATTAATTCCCCTCCCTTCTTCCCTCTGACTCCCCCCTTCAAGGTGAATCCTTTCCCCATTCAGGGACGCAGCTGTCTATCCAGCTGCAGCCCTGCCGTCACTCGCTGCGTCCTCACAGAGGGTCTGTCCTGTTCAACACCCTTCACTGGCTTCTGGAGTCACCCTGTCTCAGTGCAACCACTGCGGAAATGCAGCCCATGAGACGGGGCTCTGGAAGCTTCTACGTGAGAACTGAATTCGCCCCTTTGCTTTCTCTTTTTAAAATAAAAAATTTTTAATCAATATAATACCACTATAGAGTTTGAAAAATACGAACGAAAAAAGCTGCCCCAAATCTTCCTTCACCATAACACACTTTCTATCATTTCAATATTTTTCTACATATATAATCTTGCAGATGAAAACTGCATATTGCACAATTTTCTATTTTGCTTTTCTACTTATCATAATGAGAGCTTTTGCACGTTGCCGCAGAGGGTTCCTAACTACACTTACTGGCTGTAGAATATTCTACAAGTGGTTGGACCATAACTTAACCGTTGCCCTGTAGTTATGACTTCTAGTTTTCTATTACTGTCAACAGCGAAGCAGAGTGCTCCTTGGTGCATCTAGCCGCTTCCTTCCTTCTCCTCCCTCTATAGGATAATGTCCCAGCTGGAGGCACTGGCGGCCACACGATGCCAGCCCCCCTCCCGCTGGGCCACTCGCTGCCCCGGGCGGTGAGCCAGGGACTCACTCTCTTCACGGCTCCTTCCCCGACACGCTTCATCTGCCTCACTTCTGTCCTCAGCTGCTCGCAGGACAGCCACGGGGAGCAGTTGCTCGTCGGCCCCATCCTGAAGTGGCCGTAGGGACAGCGCGTGGGGTCCTCCGTGGAGCGCCGGGGTGAGATGAAGAGCCAGTCGAGGCAGAGGTAGAGGAGGGCGTTCATGAGGGCCATGGACAGCAGCAGTCCCACCACCGGGGGCACGTCCCTGGGCGGGGGCCCTTTCCTGCCCTCCTGGGGCCTCGTCTCCATGGCGCTGGCTTCTGCAAGCTCCTAAAACAGGGAAACAGGGAGTATCACGGTCCATCTTATTTCAGGAAGGACTGAGGGTGACACAGCCTCCCGGGCCTCAGGGTCACCGTGAGGATCAGAGAGGGTTTGAGAGCAGCCTTGCACCAAACGCTCGATGCCAGCCCCTCCCAGAATTGTTGCTTCCTATTACAGCTTCGAGCAGAAGGGAGTCTTGGGTCTGACTTTGTCTCTGTCTCCCTGCAGCTGTCTGCGCTGAGTAGATACGCACTGAACAGTTAGTAAGATGAAAGCAAACTGTGGCTTTGTTAGTCCAGTGGGGTTGGGGCAGGAGGTGGACAGGAGAGAAGCTGGGGTCGGGGTATGGCTGGGACTCTGAGGGGTTGGGATGTTCCTTGCAAGGTACTCAAAAGCCCCCTGATGTTTTTGAGAAGCAAAGGTGTGAAAGGTGCCCCAGGGTGGGAGGCCCCAGTGGGAATCCAGAACGAGCACTGATGAGAACGCAGGCAACACGACCAGGGGGAGACGGGCGGGCACACAGGTGAGCACCACGGTGAGGCAGGGGCGCTCGCCATCCAGTGGGCTCCCGTCTGGGAGCAGGTGCGAGGCCCGGGGTGGAGGCAGGCGTTACCACCCGGTTGCCTCGGTGGAGGGTGGGGAGGGACCTGGACATCGGGAGCGGGACACTCAGGGTGCCTGGGGCGGACGCTGGTTGCCACGCGCAGGGAGCATCACTACCCCGACGAGCGACGTGGCTGTACCACTGTGCGCTGGCTTAACCACAGCACTGGGGCACACGGGACACCACTGACGGCACAGACCCTGTGCCAAAGCTCAACAGCCAACGTGCAGGCCTGGCCCCTCGGCAGCACCTGGCCTGGCTGGCTGACCACTCCCTCCCTCCTCCTGAAAACGCTCTGCACTCGGCTCCCAGGAAACCACTTGCGGCTGGGACCTGGCCCCCACCCTCGTTCCCGGGGTGGGGAGATCTCCATGACCATCCGCTGAGCTCCAGGTGTGAAGCCCAGACCCAGCCTCCCCAGAACTCCACACCTGCCTTCCTGACACCTCTACTTGGAGTCTGGTGGACAACTCAAAAATAATATTTCTCCTCTGCAATAAAAAGACAAATAACTCAATTTAAAAATGGGCAAAGGACTTGAACAGACATTTCTCCAAAGAAGATATACAGATGGCCAACAGGCACATGAAAAGATGCTCAACTTTAATAGTCACCAGGGAAACGCACACCAAAACGACAAGATCCCACCTCACATCCTCTAGGATGGCTATAATCAAAAAACCAGGTGGTAACAAGTGTGGATGGGAAACCCTCATACGTTGCTGGTGACAATGCAAAATGGAGCAGCCACTGTGGAAAACAGTCTGAAGTCCTCAAAGGTTAAACACAGAGTTACCACCAAATCTACTGCTCGGTATCTACCCAAGAGAACTGAAAACACACATTCGTGCAAACACTTGTACATGAATGTTCACAGCAGCATTATTCATAACAGCCAAATAGTGAAAGCAACCTAAATGTCCATCAGATGATGCCTGGATAAACAGAACGTGATGTGTCCACACAATGACATAGTATTCAGTCATTAAAAGGAATAAAGCACTAATACATGCTGCAACATGCACTGAAAACATTATTCTCAGGAAAATTAACTAAGGGAAATAGCATATGATTCCATTTATATAAAACTCCAGAACAGGGAAGTCCAGAGACAGCAAGTAGATCAGTGGTTGCCAGGGCCTGGGTGGAGGCGGACATGGGGAGAGGTAGTTGATGTGACAGGATTTCTTTTTGGATGAAAATGTTCTGGAATTAGTGGTGACGGTTGCACAACCTTGTGAATATACTAAAAATCACTAACTGTACACTTTAAAATAGCAAATCTACAGCCTGTAAAATATATCTCAACCTAATTTTTAAATTGAATTATAGTTGATTTACAATATTGTATTAGTTTCAGGTGTACAACATAGTGACTCAGTATTTTTCTAGATTATATTCCATCTAAAGCGACAGCAAGTCCACTACCTACGAACGAGTTCCATTCCAAGGCAGTGTTCGTTAAGTCCAACAAAGTTAGCCTAGGTACCAAACTCACACAGTCGGCTATAGCACTGTACTGTAATAGGTTTATAATACTTTTCACACAAATAATACATAAAAAACAAACACAAAAAATACAGAAAACATTTTTAATCTTACAGTAGAGTACCCTGAAAAGTACAGTAGTCCAGTACAACAGCTGGCACACAGGGGCTGGCATCGAGTGAATAGGCAAGAAGAGTTACTGACTGGAGGAGGGAGAGAAGGTGGGAGATGGCAGAGCTGAAGGATTGTCAGCAATAGGAGACGGAGGGCAAGCTGCCATTTCACTCACGCCTGACGATGATGGAACATAGGTTCGCATCTTTGAAGGCTCGCAACTTGAAGGTTCATGTGTAGGGGACTTACTGTATTACAAAACAATGGCTGTATTCCCTGTGCCGTACAATTATCCTTGTTGCTTACCTATTCTATACATAGGAGTTTGTAACTCTTAATCCCATACCTCTATCTTGCCCCCTCTCTTCCCTCTCCCCACTGGTAACCACTGGTTTGTTCTCTATGTCTGTTTCTGTTTTGCTATATACATTTGTTGGTTTTATTTTTAGATTCCACATATAAGTGACATCATACGGTATTAGTCTTTCTCTGACTTATTTCACTAAGCATAATACTCTCTAGGTCCATCCATGTTGTTACAAATAGCAGAATTTCATTCCTTCTTATGGCTGAGTGATCAGAAAACCTGAATAGACATTTTTCCAAAGACAATATGAACGGCCAACATATGAAAAGATGCTCAGCATTGTTAATCATCAGAAATGCAAATTAAAACCATAATGAGATATCACCTCACACCTGTCAGAATGGCCATCATCAAAAAGACAAGAGACAATAAATGCTGGAGAGGGTGTGGAGAAAAGGGAACCCTCCTGCACTGTTGGTGGGAATGTAAATTGGTGCAGCCACTATGGAGAACAGTGTGAAGGCCCCTCAAAAAACTAAAATTAGAACTACCATATAATCCAGCAATCCCACTTGTGGGTATATATTCAGCAAAAAAAAAACCCCACTAATTCGAAAAGTTACATGCACCCCAATGCTGACTGCAGCTCTATCTACCATATAAATAGACATGGAAGCAACCTAAGTGTCAATCGACAGAGGAATGGATAAAGAAGACGTGGTATGTATTTGTATGTATATATAAAATCTCAACATTAAAATATAAAAATACTTCCCGGGCTTCCCTGGTGGTGCAGTGGTTGAGAATCTGCCTGCCAATGCAGGGGACACAGGTTCGAGCCCTGGTCTGGGAGGATCCCACATGCCGCGGAGCAACTAGGCCCGTGAGCCACAATTACTGAGCCTGCGCGTCTGGAGCCTGTGCTCCACAACAAGAGAGGCTGCGATAGTGAGAGGCCTGCGCACCGCGATGAAGAGTGGCCCCTGCTTGCCACAACTAGAGAAAGCCCTCACACAGAAACCAAGACCCAACACAGCAAAAATAAATAAATTAATTAATAAACTCCTACCCCCAACATCTAAAAAAAAAAAAAAAAAGGGAAACCTTTAAAAAAAAAAAAAAAAAACTTCCCAAACTCAACTCTTCCCCTCAAATCTGCTGTTTTCAGTGTTCACAATCTCAGTGAGTGACAACTGTATTCTTCCAGTGACAAGGCTGCAGGTGAAGGGTCAGGAGTGACACTCTTCTGCTGAGCAGGGAATTTTAGAAGTAATGGACCCTTCTACGGGTCAGTGTACTCTTCCTAATGAGAACAGAACACGCTGCTTTGCTCATCCCTGCCGTCATGACGAGGTGCTCGAGAGACCCTGGCTCTACTCGACTGCTCCAGCCTCATTTAACAGCTCCTTTCTCGAGACGATGCCACATGCTCACCCGCCACCTGAGTCCTGTCAGCAACGTCCAGCAATGCTGCAGGGAGTTGTCTGCTCACCTTCCTCACCGAGATTCCGGGCCCACATCTTTCTCTCCACCTCTCTCCCTCCAGGCATCTTCCAGGACTCCTGTGGACATGATGACGACGTTCACCACTCAGGCCTCACGGTCTCTTGAGCTTCTTCCACCGACGCCTGATTCTTAGAAGGTGACCTTAAAGAAATGGGCAAAACCACGGCCATCTCTCCTCTGTAGCATTTAAAGTGACCAAGAGTGTGTCAACTTAGACCTGAGGTCAGGGAGCAGAGAACTATTTTCTGTAAAGGATCAGACAGCAAATGTTCAGGTTTAGGGGCCGGAAGCGGGAATCGAGTGGCCACGGCACCGTGATGTGCGGGGTGAGAAGCAGTGGTGCCGAGCGACCAGGTAACTGTCAGAGTTATTTCATCTCGTTGTCAGCAGCAGCCAGGCCATGCTACACAAGTGAGCGAGCATGACTGTGCCCCAACAAAACTGTGTTCATGGAAGCTGAGATTCGAATTTCACATGCCACATGTTCTTTTGATATTCCCCCCAACATTTAAAAAAGTGAAACGCATCCTCAGCTCACAGGCTGTACAAGAATGGGTGGCGGGGAGCAGCCAGCCAGCCCAGCTTAGGTGACGGCATCCCTCTGGATGTCGTGGGCCCCCCTTCCATTCCACGCCTTCCACGCAGTCTCGTCCCCGCATGTGGCTCTGGCGGCTGTGTACACGCCGATTGTTTCAGGTCTCTTCTGTGGCCTGGCTCTTTCCCCTACACTTCGCTCAGTTGGCCCCTCAAGGTCTGCAACATCCATACCTGAATTCTGTCTCTCCGGTCGCCAGCATGCCCACTCCACAGGGTTCCCCTCTGTGACGGGCACACAACCAGGTGACTTGATTCTTCCCTCCCCGTAGCCACTAGACCAACCAGTCACCACCGACAGTCACTTGTCTCTGCAAAGCTCCCAAATCTGCTCACACCCGATCCCCCCGCCCCCGTTCCCCCGCCCTGGTCTAAGCATCACCTTCCTGGGCTTCTGCAACGCTTTCCTACGCACTCTCCCACTGCTTTCTCTTTTCCAATCCATTTTCCTCACCGACTAGGATCTTTTTTCTTTCCTGAAATGTTTCAAGCATAAAGAAAGTTAAAACGTAAGATCATGAGCACCCATCCAGCTTTGTCAAGTAATACTGCATCCCCTTGTTAAAGAAATAACCTATTACAAACATGGTTGGAGCCAGGGGCCCCTCGCAGTCCTATTCTGCTCCATCCCAAGAAACAGTCCCCATCCTCAAGCTGGTATGTCAGTAGTTCTCAAACTGTGGTCCCTGTACCTGCCGCAGCACCACCTGGAACTTCTGAGAAATGCAGGTTCTTAAGTCCTTGCCCCACACCTACTGCACCAGAAACTCTGAGGTGGAGCCCAGACATCTGTGTTAACACACGTGACGTGGGGGTGCAAGCTGAACTTTAATAATTTCCATGCATGCTTTTTATTCTCACCACATGAGTATGTGCCCATAAATAACAACACATAATACACGTATGTTTTCAAACTTTATATTAATACAAGCAGTGTTGTACTGTTCGTCCCTCAGTAACCGCAGGGGATTGGTTCCAGGACCCCGTGTGAAAACCAACATCTGCGGATGCTCAAGTCCCTCATATAAAATGGCGTAGAATCCCTCTGTATCAGGGATGCAGGACACAAAGTCCTCTTACGACTTGCTTTTTTAAAAGCCCAGCATTATGTTTTTGAGGTTTATCGAAGCAGATACATGACGCTCTACTTCGCTCTTTTGGATTGACTATACCGCAGCTGGTGATTCAGGTTTGCACACACTTCCTGTGTACATGTGGAAGGTTTACACAGGGTCTTTTTTTAAAAAATCATTTTATTTATTTTTGGCTGCGTTGGGTTTTCATTGCTGCACACGGGCTTTATCTAGTTGTGGCGAGCAGGGGCTACTCTTCGTTGCAATGCCCGGGCTTCTCACTGTGGTGGCTTCCCTTGTTGCGGAGCAGGGGCTCAGTAGTTGTGGCATGTGGGCTTAGTTACTCTGCGGCATGTGGGATCTTCCCAGACCAGGGCTCGAACCCGTGTCCCCTGCGTTGGCTGGCAGATTCTTAACCACTGTGCCATCAGGGAAGTCCCACCCACTTCTTAAAGAAGTCATTCACCCACTCCATCACCTTATGGTCTTTTTTTTAAAGATTTATTATTTACTTAATTTGTTTTTGGCTGCATCGGGTCTTAGTTGTGGCATGCAGGATCTTTCATTGTGGCTGCGGGCGTCTTTCTAGTTGTGGTGCCCAGGCTCCAGGGCGTGTGGGCTTTGCACTTTGCGGCAAGAAGGCTCTCCAGCTGTGGTGTGCGGGCTTAGTTGCCCCGTGGCATGTGGGATCTTAGTTCCCTGACCAGGGATCGAACCCGCATCCCCTGCATTGTAAGGAGGATTCTCTACTACTGGACCACCAGGGAAGTCCCCTCCTTTTTCTTTTAAAGGCATATTTCTGTAGTATGTTGCCCAGAGTTAGGGAAGAGGCTGTATGGCTGAGGAAATGTTCTCGCCCAGAAATAAGCAAAACGACACTGAAAGCTTCTACAAATTAAGAAATAACGATTAAAGGTCCAGGTGGGTAGGAGAAATTCAGGCACTGTTTAGACACAAAGGATTTCTGACAACAAGAAAAAACTGGCAACAGGAAAAAAGTGGTTCCCACTGCTATACACTCACAGCTTAATTTAAAAAGAAAAGCAATGGAACAAAATTGGTTTTTACCAGCTACAGAATAATTTACACAACCAACCAGAGAAGAAATGATGAATTAGTGCCCGCCCCCCCCGCCCATACAATTTTGGTTAGAATCCCATTTTGCCAACAAAGCACAGGTACATTAATTATTTTAAATATTCCTGATGCCTGCTTAGCCTTAAGGTTCTATAGTAAAGGTCAAGCAAGGGTGGAGAAGACAAGACCACCAAAGAACACGGCTAAACCCTGCTTTTTAAAAAGGGGCAGCAGACGATTCCAGACCTGGAGGCGGTGGCAGCGCGGCACCAACAGAGGCAGGACCTGAAGCCTGTCCCGGCGGCGTGTCCGTCGGCTCAAGTCCAGCTCGGGCGCCGGGCAAGACGCGGCCCAGCTACCCCCGCGCCCGCCCGCCGCCCCTACCTGCCGACCCCTCCCCCGGCCCGCCGCCCCTACCTGCAGTCCCGGTTCCCGGTCTGGCTCGCGGCCTCCTGCGCCTGCGCGGCCGGAAGCGCGCCCAGCAGGACCAGCGCGAGGGTGCGCCCTAGTGTCGTCCTCCCGCCGCCGCGCACCCGGAGATCGGTCGCCGGAACGCAAAGCCGGTGTCGGAGCGCATCCGGAAGCAGCGCCGGCGCACCCGGCCGGCTCCTGTGGCGGCTGCTTCTCTGCCAGCGCGTGAGGGCGGTGACGTGTTTAGTCCGGACGCGCAGCCGGGTGCAGGTGCCGGTGCCGGTGCGGAGAGGACTTGTACGATCTAGACGCAGCAGAAAGCTCCCGCTCAGCGCAAGGCCGTGCTTCCAAAGGGCGGTCCTCAGACCAGGTGCCGACGCTTCACGGCTCCAGGGAACTTGTCAGGAGTGCGCATTCTGGGCTCCATCCCAGGCGGGGCTGGGGCCAGCGCTCTGTGCTTTTACAGGCCCCCGGGGGTGCCCGTGCTAGACGTCCACGTTTGTTTATGCGTAACTTCATCCTGGAAAAACACTAGGTGAATGCGGAAAAATGCACCCAGCTGAGCCGCGCTGCGTAGGAACGCACAAAGCACACGCACGCACCTCAGCATCTCTCAGTGTCTTCAGTTCCTGTCGTGAGCCACAGCCATCCACATCTGGTGTTTCAACTTACCAGTGGGTTTCGGGTAACTCCCCATCGCTTCACAATAATTCAGAGGCTGCAGCCCTTCCAATGCCCATGTCTAGAACTGAGAAATATAATAACCAAAACAAAAAACTCATTGGATTGGTTCAATAGTAGAATGGAGATGACAAGAGAAAAAAAGTCAGTGAATTTGAAGACAGATTAATAGAAATGATCTAATCTGACCAACAGAGGGAAAAAAAGGAAAAAGAAAGAAAAAAAAAAGAACAAACGGCACCTTCGGGACAATAACAAAAGGTCTAACATTCTTGCATTGAGAATCCCACAGAAGAGAAAGGGCTGAAAAAATGTTTGAAGAAGTAATGGCTGAAGATATCCCAAGTTTGGTGACACCTACAGATTCAAGAAGCTGAGCAAATAGGGTAAATCCAAAGACATCCATGGCCAGACACATCAAAATCAAATTACTAAAGACAAAAATTTTGCAAGCAGCCAGAGAGAGATGACATGTAGGTGAACGACCATTCTAATGACAGGAAGTGACATTTCTCAAGTGCTGAAAGAACTGTAAACTCAGAATTCTATATCCAGCGAAAACATCTTTCAGGAATGAAGATGAAATAAAGACCTTCTCAGCTGAGGAAAACTAAACAGGATTTGCAACCAGCAGAACTAATCTAAAAGAACTGCTGAAAGAAATTTCTTCAGGCAAAAGGAAAATTATACCAGAAGGAAACTTGGAACATCAGGAATGAAAGAAAAGTAACAAAAATAGTAAATCTCTTGGTAAATGTAATAGACTACTATTCTTGAGTTCTTTAAAATATGTTTGGTGGTTGAATGCAAAAAAATTGTCTGATGGGGTTTTCAATGTAAGTATAGGTAATATATAAGACAGCTATAGCATAAATGGTGGGGGTGAGGAGACCAATACCGTGGTAAGGTTTCTACATGCCAATTGAAGTGATAAAATATTGATATAAATAGGCTGTAAAAAGTTGTATACGTATTATATAATTCCTAGAGTAACCACTAAATAATAATAATAGGGAATAACAGGAAAATCTCTGATCACTTGGCAATTAAATGATACACTTCTAAATAATCCCTGACTGAAAGAGGATGTCTCAAGAAGGGAAATTAGAAAATATTTTGAGCTGAATAAAAATAGAATGTATAGCATTAAATGCTTATATTGGGAAAAATCATCATCTAAGCTTGGATCAATCTAAGCTTCCACCTTAAAAAATTAGAGCATGTACTATATACTAGAAATTTGCTAAGAGAGATAACACACACACACAAGTGTGAGGTGAAGGATCTGGTCACTAATCTTAACGTGGTAGTCATTTCACAATATGTATCAAATCATCATACTGTATGTCTTAAGCTTACACAGTGTTACTTGTCGATTATATCACAATAATTGCTAGGCAAAACAGCTAGAGTGGACCAAGTCAAGTAGAAGGAAAGAAATAAAATGTGAGAGAATTCAGTGAAGTTGAAAGTTCTATTATATATACTTTTTTGTTTTTAAAGCTTGTCGATACACACTGACTTGCCCATTAATGGGTTACAACCCAATTTGAAAAACATTGCCTTTTTTTTTTTTTTTGAAAAACATTGCTTTTTATAACATAACTTCCAGAGGGAAAACTTCTGGACTCTCTTACTAATTTATAAGTTAATATCTGGGATATAACCAATTAAAAAATTGAGTTGAAGGCCTCACTAAAGGATGTAATTAACGAAATTTGTCCTTCTTTGTGAATCCTTCCTGACTCCATCAGGAAGATAATCCCTCCTGCTTCTGTGTTCCCAAATAGTACTTCTTCAACAAGCTAATAAACATTTTCAGGGTACTGAGGGGTGTAGCATACTGTTGGTCTCTCTCAAAATTGGGATCCCTGAGGGCAGAGATCTTACTCTCTCCTCTAGCTCCAGATTTCCTTTATGTGGGTCCAAGCTAGTGCTATTTGCTATATTTGAGATTTTAAATTTTTAATTCATTAATAAAGCAATAAACCCATTACATGTTAACAAAAATAACATTTTATGAAACTTACATTTTCCAAAAAACCAACCAGGAAAATGGCAGTTTTACATTTTTGCAAATCTCTTTCGTCTGACTTAATAGAAGATTTCCAGATTCTCCTATCTGCATCTGTATTCAATTTGTTGGAATATGGTGTTTTTGGTTGAAGTACGTGAAGAAAATCCACTCATACACACAGATATATAGTCAGAAAGGGAGTATTTTAGGAGTCTTTTAAGAAGTTGTGGATATTCTCCAATACTACACCAAAATTCGACAAGTGGTGGTTTCTCAAAGGTTAGTTGCAGTGTGGAATCTGCAACTCTATCAATGTACTTTTTGTGTTCTGTTACATCTGGTAATGTGAATGGATTGTTTATGCATTCATGATAATACCATAGATGGGTCATTTGGAAAATATTGGTCCATTGAGCTATACGGATCCACCAATTGTGGATACATTTAACTATTCATTATTGATTCAATAATAATGAATTAATAATTCATTAATATCATCACTTTGATTTCATCAGAAGGTAGCGGGAAGCTGTCAAGCTGACTGTGGTAGATTAAAATTTTCCCTCAAAAGCTCAAATTTTATGATTGGCAATAAACACTCAGTTGTTCAAGTACAAATGGCATTCCAAGAAGAGTGGCCTGTTTGGGCCACAACTTACACAATTGCACAAATGCTTTTCTTCAAGACAACCAAGAAGTTTAGGCGTACTTCCATTCAGTCACACAAAATACTGAAGAGACCATGAGTACTGTGAATAAAATATATAATTACTGATTCACCCAGTACATCGTTCAGTGAATGCATGGCAGTGAAGAAGACAATGAGTACTCAGTACCACTGCCTTGATTTGTGCTAAGGCACCAGCAGTCTGACCCACCGTTTATGCGCCAGCAGTGCAGATAGCAACACAGTGAAAGTATTATTGGATAAATAATTTTGAGCTAACAGCCCCTCCACAGACCACATTTTAATTGTTAGTCCAATGAAAAAAGTGCACTGCCAGGTCTCTGTATTCAGCTGCCCATCAGGAGATGACCCTCATTAGGATCATCAAAATAAGTCATTATACACTTGAATCATGGGGCCTCCTCACCTGATTCCATACTCACTAAGCAACCTTGTGATAAATGAATTGCCACCTAGTTAAACTTCAGGCAGAAAATGCTAAGTGGCTAGGCTGGTGCAATTGCTTGGTCCGCCTGTTACATTTCTCAGTGTAAATCCCATTATGCTTTTTATTAAAGTCCCTTACGAGCTTTGTTGAGTCAGCAGCCCTGAATCTCATCAATTTGGGTACACTGACAGGGTAGTTTCTGAGAGTAAATGCCATCTTATGAAAACTTTTCTGTACAATTTTTTTTCATGACACCTTTGAAATTGTCTATATAGGGATGACACTTTATGAAAATTTCAAATATAAATTCAGAGATTTTTGGAGTCTAAAAACAAAAACTGACATGTAAAATGTTAAATACCCACAAAGTATATTTTCTCCAGGAATTTTTTTTCACCATTATCCTAGTTATTTTGGGGTTTTTTGTTTGTTTTTAATCAGACCGGTCTTCCTTTTAATTAGTGTTTTTTAAAATTTATTGGAGTACAGTTGCTTTACAATGTTGTGTTAGTTTCTGCTGTACAGCAAAGTGAATCAGTTATACATATACATATATCCCCTCTTACATATATCCCCTCCTTTTTAGATTTCCTTCCCTTTCAGGTCACCACAGAGCACTGAGTAGTTCCCTGTGCTATATAGCAGGTTCTCATTAGTTACCTATTTTATACATAGTAGTGTATATATGTCAATCCCAACTCCCAATTCATCCCACCCCACCCATTCCCCCTTGGTATCCATGTTTGTTCTCTACATCTGTGTGTCTATTTCTGCTTTGCAAATAAGTTCATCTGTACCATTTTTCTAGATTCCACATATAAGCGATATTATACCATATTTTTCTCTTTCTGACTTACTTCACTCTGTATGACAGTCTCTAGGTCCATCCACATCTCTGCAAATGGCACTATTTCGTTCCTTTTTATGGCTGAGTAATATTCCATTGCATATATGTGCCACATCTTCTTTATCCATTCCTCTGTTGGTGAACATTTAGGTTGCTTCCATTTCCTGGCTACTGTAAATAGTGCTGCAGTGAACATTGGGGTGCATGTGTCTTTTTGAATTATGATTTTCTCTGGATATATGCCTAGGAGTGGGATTGCTGGGTCATATGGTAGTTTCTCCAGGAATTATTAAAATACTGTTATTGGGAGTTCCCACAAACTACGCAGCATGGCCAGAAAAAAAAAAGTTTGTTTAAAAAAATATTGTGGGAATTCCCTGGTGGTCCAGTGGCTAAGACTCTGTGCTCCTAATTCAGAAGGCCCGTGTTCGATCCCTGGTCAGGAAACTATATCCCGCATGCCACGACGAAGAGTTCGTGTGCTGCAGCTGAGGATCCCACACGCTGCAACTAAAGGTCCCACATGCTGCAATTAGGACGCAGTGCAGCCAAATAAATAAATAAATATTTAAAAAAATATATCGTTATTTTCTGAATTCTTGAGATAACTGTTCTTTTTGTTTGTTTGTTTGTTTTGCCGCACCACGCAGCTTGTAGGATCTTACTTCCCTGATCAGGGATTGAACCCAGGCCCCCGAGTGAAAGGGCGGAGTCCTAACCACTGGACTGACAGGGAATTCCCTGTTCTACTCTATATAATTTCTTTAGTTATAGTCTGGTGCTTTGAACAGTGAACAAAAATTCTTTATTGATAAGGTGAGATTTAATTATGTGCAGGTACACAGAAACTCGCTTGTTCAACCTTCAACTCCTTTCTAGCAAGTCTTCCTGAAGCGTAGAGGCTGGAAAGCTATAAACTACATTTCCCAGATTCCTTTTTGCAGTTAAGGGTGTTCGATGTCCTTTAGGTTCTTTCCAATCAGATGCACTAAAGTAAGCCTTTACTTTGGAGCCACGTCCTGTGGGAAGGGAAGCAGGTGAGCCTGCGTGGAAGGTGGTGGAGGTGGACATGGAGCTGGCAGCCTCACGCAGCAGTTCCTGATCCCAGCACAGGCAACAGCAATGTGATGCTCCAGTTCTGCAGTGGGGTTTTGGGACGTATTTTGGAAGATCGGGTAATTATTCTGTGAGCTACCTATATACCTCAATAAACCCTGTGAGTTTTAAACCACCTTGAGTGAATTTTGTTGCTTGTAGTCAAGAACTGACCACTTCACATTTTAATTACATTTCCTTTAACATAGTCATGTTTCTGGTTTCTTCAGTTTTATAGCAATATATCCTTCCTCAATTGCTTTTCTAAGCCGAGACAATGTCCCCTGTATATAGTTAAATGCTATTTAAAAAGTCAGGGGCTTCCCTGGTGGCGCAGTGGTTGGGAGTCCGCCTGCCAATGCAGGGGACACGGGTTCGTGCCCCGGTCCGGGAAGATACCACATGCCGCGGAGCAGCTGGGCCCGTGAGCCATGGCCGCTAAGCCTGCGCGTCCGGAGCCTGTGGTCCGCAACGGGAGAGGCCACAGCAGTGAGAGGCCCATGTACCGCAAAAAAAAAAAAAAAAAAAAAAAGTCAAACCACTATGGCAATTGTTTTAGGATACAGCTATAATTTTATTACAAAACCATTCTTTTGGCATTAGTTGGTTACAGTGATAGCAAGATACTGTGAGTGTGGCAGAGCAGCTCTAATGTAACAACTGCACTCCCTGCTTTCTGAACTGAAATGTAAGTGACTCACATCCTTCACATACGCGTTGCCTGCAAACATTAACGCTGCAAATCCTGACATATACACCGTTTAGGGCAGTTGCTGCTAAGGGGTTACAGTGAATGCTGAAAGGCTACCAAGTTCCTCTGGGGACTTCCTGTTTCTCCTCCCTCCCCTGAATCACTCTGCTTAACAAGAATCAAATCACTCAGAACCAGTCTGAACAGCATTAGCACCCCAGGAGCATCACACTGGGTTCATGTTAAAAAGCAGTGCCCGTGTAATGTACATTTCACACCACAGGCAAAGGGGATGATCGCTCTGGTTTTTAACTCCTGCGTTAGAGTCTCTTAGAAAAATAAAAGCATCCCATCAAGTTCTTCTAGATGGTGTTATTGCTGTACATTTGTAGGTGAGTCACTTTCTGTGCTGTGTTTGCTTTGAAGGGATCTTCCAATATATCTCCAATATTCCTTTCTTATAGTGTCCTTTTCTTTAGCTAGGATTTCACATAACTGAAAATGAACAACAAAAATTCATTAAAGGAAATGTGTAATTCAATCCCTAGGGCAAATGCATTTGGACTAGTACAGTTTCATTCAGGTCGTGATCAAATGAGATACACACTAGAGTCACATACTATGTGCACTAGTGATATGGGTGTCACCCTAAACAGCAGAATAGCCCTGCACAGAATTCTGAGTGGCTGTGTTGAAAGGGGCATGAATACTCGTGTCGCTGGGCAGACCCAGCTTTGAGACTCCAAGAAGAAATCACTGAGTCCTGACAGCTTACCTCTAATGCTTTATTAAGAATGTCTGCCTTGTTGCCACATTGGTTTTCTAGCATGTCTTCATAGATGTCCACGAGAAAGGCAGTCAGGTAGGGGGAGCTGTGGCTTGGTTGTAAATCAAGTAATTGATTTAACAGGTTGGGATACTTGGAAAGACCACGATCCTGCAAAATCCTAAAAAAAAAAATTATTCCCAATTTTTAGAAGGAAGAACAAAAACAGTAGAAAGATCAAGAGAAAATGACCCCTGTAATATAAGCAAGAAAAGGAAACATTTTGAATGAGGTTGAAATGAAATGAAATTTTTAAATTAAATGTGAGCTTTATCATACATAATTAAGAGCTGGGTAAAATTAGCTAAAAAGAATAATGAAGTTTAAAAATAATCATTTGTAAGTCAAACTGCAACATACAAAATTAAAGGAAAAAAACTCCATTTTCTTAAAATTAAAAGTGAAGGAAAAAAACAGGAGAGACATTTCTGTGTCTTGAGATGGTTATTCATCCCTTTAGCTCTCCAGATATTATAGGCCCCAACCTCTGACAGATCTCCAAATGTGACTGAGCTCCATGCTTTGTGCATTTTGGGCCTGTTTCCTTGGAGACCCTTAAGTTTGACAAGGAGCCGGGTGATGTCAGTGGCAAGAGAAACCTTGCTGATTTAAGGAGTGAGACTTGTAACAGGAGATCTCCAGAAATGACAACAGAAAGGGTGGCTATGTGTCTGTGCAATCTGTTTCTAAGTGATTTGTCTTGTCTTCCCGTGATCCTGAGCTGAACAGAAACTGGTGTGTGTATTCCGTTCTGTGACATAAAGACCCCAGGATTCATAAATGCAGTTAAAATTGTGTCACTGTCTACTCATGGACTATTCTAAAAACTGTGCTGGTATGTGCCTGGGAGGTTAAGGAAAGGGTAGAAGGTACTGTTCTTAGGTGTTATCATAACGCTATTACACTTCTGCTCTTAGATCCAGAAAAATGGAAAATTCTTTAGTGTCCTTTTGGAATCTGATTATGGAACATATTCCACGATGACTCATGTTAGCAGGTTAAAAAAAAAAAAGCAAAAACAACCTCTTACCCTTTCAAATAGTTCCAAGCACTTTCATTATGTGGTACTAGTTTGATCATTTCCAGAGTGTACCTGTAAGAAAAAGACCACAAATAAACATGTGTATAACTCTGCAAGAGCAGTGCAATAATGAGAAACAGTCTTCCTATGGTGGTGGCAGAGCCTGGACATGAGCTTTCACTTATCTCTGCTGGTGGACTTGGTACCTCCCTAGGTTATATCTGAATTAGAGACTCCCTCGTGGCTGCAATGGTCAATTCTTATTTACAAAGTAATACGAAGGCTCAGTTCACAAATGGAAAAGAAGTTAATGTTGGAGACTGCCCTCTGAAGGAAATGTCAGCTACAACAAGGAGACTGTCCTTTTTTCGCTGAAGCAATCTTGGGGAAAATGTCTAAGATCTACTTATGCCAGAAAAATCATTACTCATTGAAAAAGGAGAACTAAATAATCTTGGAACCTATAATAAAAAATAGACAAGCATGGAGATTATATAGACAAAGAATAAAAATAAGAAACCAACAACAGCATATTTCTTATATTCCAAAACAAGAGTACCTGCAAACTATGATGTGATTCCATTCCAAATGGACGCTCCCTACTTTTCTCTTCCCCTTAACCAGATTATTAATTGTAATTTAGATCCAGTTACAAAAAATTCCAAGGGAGTTACAGAACTTTGCTTCACTATACACTTGCTCAAATTAGTGACTGACTAAAGTTTAGTAATCTTAGTTTTGTTGCAGTGCTGTTTTAACAGCATTTTTTTTCACAGAGAGTAATAATAAACTCATTCAGCATTATGAAAATTACGAATATTATAAAGAAAGAAGCCTGGAGAAGAGAGTTAATATAGGACATTAGGTTGGAGACTGTGTGTGTGTGCTTTTTTAAAATTTAAATCACCAGAACCCTATATATAGAACAGATAAAATTAGAGCCAACTGCCCTGATCCAAGCAGAAGTAAGGGCAAGGGAGATGAGAGGCAGATGTACCATGAAATCAGCTCTTCCTAGGAGCTGTTGAAACAACTTTTTTTTTTTTTTTTTTGCGGTACGTGGGCCTCTCACCGCTGTGGCCTCTCCCGTTGCGGAGCACAGGCTCCGGACGCGCAGGCTCAGCGGCCATGGCTCACGGGCCCAGCCGCTCCGCGGCATGTGGGATCCTCCCGGACCGGGGCACGAACCCGCGTCCCCTGCATCAGCAGGCGGACTCCCAACCACTGCGCCACCAGGGAAGCCCGAAACAACTTTTATAATTAAAATATGACTATGATCTCATCAGGCTATAAAGATAATAAACATATTCAAATTTCAAACAAGACACTGAGACAAATTAGACAAAGTCAGAAAAGAGGTTTATGGATAGAATATAGAAATTCATGCCAATTCAGAAATTTCTAGATCTTATAACAGCATTTGGTATGCTACAGCAGTTTTCAACTGGGGGTGATTTGGGCTGGGGTGGGGTCTACTACTGAGATATAGGGCATAAAGGCTGAGAATGGAGCCACACATCCTGTAATGCACAGGACAACAAAGACTCATTGGCCCAAACCCTGCACTAGAGTAACATGGCATCTGGGGAGATAGTTTTAAAATAAAGCTTCCTAGACACCATGAAATCTGAGTTCTTCTCAATCTACAGTAGCAACAATATTTTAAGAAACTTAAGCCACTACAAAGTAAAGGTTTACTATACACCAGGGGCCCCCAACCCCCAGGCCGTGGACCACTCCCCATCGCTCACATTACCACCTGAACCATTCCCGCCACAGCCCCACCCCATCCCCGGTCCGTGAAAGAACTGTCTTCCATGAAACCAGTCCCTGGTGCCAAAAAGCTTGGGGACCGCTGCTATACACTATATTATTTGTAAATTTATCATTATAGGTTTCACCTAAGTATTCTGTCCTATTACTTCCATGAGGGTAGGATTGGGGCAATCTTGATCTTTGCTGTATCCCAACGCCTTTATGCCCTGTATCTCAGTAGTAACATGAGACATGGTAGGCACACAAATATTCTTTTAATGAGTGAACAAGCGAAGATTACTAACTGGACTTCTCTCTCCAATACAGCACGATCATTGTAGCCCATGGTGTTAGAAATTACGAAGTATCTTTGGTTCCAGACAGAGTTATTTCTCACATCCTCTTTGAGAAGTTGGTCTACATAATGCAGCTCATTATCCCAAAGTTTAAATTCCTAAAAGAAAATACAAAATAAAACATCCAATTAGAAATGTCCTATCATTTATTAACAACAAAAATAAATAAATAAAACTTCAGCAAAGCTAAGCAGGTAGAACTGAAGACATGGACTCATCACATATTTGGAGAGGGATGCTGAAGGTCAAGGAAATGGCGGGGCAAGAAAAGTCATCAAAGACAGAGGAATGGCGATGAGGAAGGAAAAATGAGGAAGTGAGAGTGAACACCCAGAGTGGCTGTCATTCAGGAGCATCTTGTGGAAAACAATTTAGATACCAAGCAGCATGTTTTAACTTTGACCCAAGAACTACTCTAAAGAATTAAATCAAAAGAAAAAAAAAAAGAAAGCATATCTAACTAAATGCTTATGCATTGTTTATAGTAAAAATGTGGAAGAAAAAAACCAAACTCAGTGATAAGACAATGATTAACTGTACTACTGTATATTAATTTGATGTGATTTGATATTATTACATATATTAAGTAAAAGGGAAGTATTCAAAAATGCTAAAATACATGTAGATAAATATACAATTGGATTTAGATATAAATTTTTACATTACAAAGCTGTTTTAATTTAAAAAATTATGGAGAGAACTAACAAAGACAATTTGAAAAAGGAGTAAAAGGTCAAAACGTACAAATGCCACAAAAGTTGGGGATGTTAACTATGAAAAAGCTAACGGAGATACATTGCTTATTTGATACTAGCAAAAAACTAGAATTTCATAAAAAAAATACTACATGTCTTCAGAAAATGTATTCCTTTAATCAAATTAGGAAAAGTTTAAATTTTTAAGCAATAAATTTTTTGGTGAAATACTCTTGGTATAATGAACAGTGCAGAAAGTAGCAATCCCTGGAAAAAATTCACTGGACACAACACTACAATTGTTTGCTGGAATAAATAAAAATGCCCAGAGTGGGAGTTATAACTATTTTTTCTTTTTTTTTTAAAGATTTTTTTGATGTGGACCAATTTTTAAAAGTCGTCATTGAATTTGTTACAATATTGCTTCTGTTTTATGTTTTGTTTTTTGGCCCCAAGGTATGGGGGATCTTAGCTCCCTGAACAGGATCGAACTTGCACCCCCTGCATTGTAAGGTGAAATCTTAACCAGTGGACCGCCAGGGAAGTCCCATAACTGTTTTCTTCTATTCAGGACTTAGCATAAAATTTTAACAAGTGGGCAGAAATAAAATATACAACAGTTACTGTAAAATCATATTTCAAAGTTTAAGCATGCAAAACCTTAATATGTAATATGTCCTTGTTAATTAAAATAACACAGCTGTATAAAAAATTTACAACTACTTTTTCTATTCAATTTGCTAGCAAATACATGACTCAAGTTCAATCCAAAAAGTATTTAAAAAGTCACTATTATTATTCTTTAATGTGAAGTTACTCACCAACATATCCAAAGAGATTATAAAGGTTAACCAACATGAAGGATGTCAGGTTTAATTAAGTATCTGAATAATTCTTAATCATTATATATTGTTTGTAATGATCTACATGTGTGTTTAAGTATACTACAATTTAATAGTAATTAAATTATTTAATTCAGTTAAAAAAATAAAAATCTGTAAAACACAGAAAGGCAATACCTGAATAACCCATTGTCGATGTTGCCAGGCGTGATAATTCTTTGCATCCTGATTAAGAATATCAGCAATAAACTCAAGCTCCTGAGATGGGTCTCTCAGCCATTCCACTAGCACTCGCCTATGATGCCTAAAGTCGAGAGAAGAAGTTTCGTGTTAATTTACCCCAAAACGAAAGTATCCGCTGCATGTGTTAGGTGATGTGGAGGGACACTCAAGAAACAGCAATTTATCTCTAATTCTCAAGACTCTACTAGAAAGAAAAGGTACTACAGAATAAACACTATGAGAAAAAATTTCAGAACACTAAGTAACAGCTGAGAAACATAAAACAGTGATTTGCACGTAAAATGAAACCAGATAATAAGAGCTTAAAGAAGGTTTATCTCAAGCTAAATCTGAAAGTACAGTAATCTCTTGACAACCACAATACCGTGTGAAAGAATTTTTCAACATGCCCAGATGTCACAATGAGATTACGGGAAATGTGATACTATTTTATCAAGTATGGAAGCCCCTCTGGTTATCAACATGCTGTCAGTTTTCCTTAAGTCCTAAGTGCCACCATTCAAGCAACTTCTTATTCCACCAGTTTGTGGGCAGAATGGAATTCACTTCTTCTCTGGCAAGTAGCTATGACAAGTTGCAAGTCTGTCGAAAGAGGAGTTTCTGTACCAGGAAAATACTTCTAAGAGTTCTCTACTGGATTCTATTTTTATAATTTTCTTTAGCTGAAATATTTATAAAAATCTATTAGTGAAAATGTTCTAATATTCACTGTGGTGATGGCTGCATATATATACCCCTTAAATGGGTAAATAGTATGATATGTGAATTATATCTCAGTGAAGCTGTTTTTTAAAAAACCCCATTAGTACTCATTATACTAAAAGTGCGCAGGGATGATGGGGGAAAGGGGAAAGATTTAATGCTTAATGGGTGACCTATTCTACATGCATGGAAAATTTAAAAATTCATCTTAGAGAATATTAAGGCAAGAAACTACCAAGAGGAAGATCCTAGAGGGAATGGTTTCCAAATAATTTAAGAAGTCTTCCAAGTCAGTGAGCACAGTAATAATTTATTTTTCCAGGTTACTGGTAAATTCTATAATTCAGGAAAAACTTAAGAATTAGGTCCTCCAGTATGTCAAAATGACTTCTCAGAAAAAAATACTAAGAAGCTCTCTCTGATGTTCTATGATTTAAAGAGTATTAATTAAATACAGGGGTTTGATCTTACAGCATAAGTTTTCATAGTGAATTTAATAAAAAGTGACGTGGCATACAGGATTTGCATTACTTGTACTATACTAGTTATGATAGCAACTAGCGGAGTGGGCAATTTAAAATGTACCGTAATTAAAAACTGCTAGGTTTCCAACAGCAACTGCTCTGGGTTTCTTTTTTTCTTTTTAAATTTTTAAAATTTTAATTATTTTTGGTTGTGTTGGGTCTTCATTGCTGCACACGGGCTTTCTCTAGGTGCGGCGAGCGGGGTCTACTCTTCGTTCCAGTGCGTGGGCTTCTCATTGCGGTGGCTTCTCTTGTTGCGGAGCACGGGCTCTAGGCATGTGGGCTTCAGTAGTTGCAGCACGTGGGCTCAGTAGTTGTGGCATACAGGCTCTAGAGCGCAGGCTCAGTTGCTGTGGTGCACGGGCTTAGCTGCTCCGTGGCATGTGGGATCTTCCTGGACCAGGGCTCGAACCTGTGTCTTCTGTATTGGCAGGTGGATTCTTATCCACTGAGCCACCAGGGAAGCCCGCTCTGGGTATCTTGTATTTTGTTTTTCATAACGATAGGTGACAACGTGTTAATGACAGTATCTGCAGCGTCCAGAAAAAGCAGCTACTTCTCTTCAGCAAAAACTAGATGTAATCAAACGCTGAGAATGCTTGTGATGTCTGGATTTTTTTTTTCTTTTTACGATAAAATGGTACATAGTGTATATTCTCTTCAAGTACTTTTCTGGATTTTTTTTTGCCGCAACACACAGCTTGTGGGATCTCAGTTCCCCGACCAGGTACTGAACCTGGGCCACGGCAGTGGAAGCGCTGAATCCTAACCACTAGACCACCAGGGAACTCCCTTCTGGAGCTATAACCTCCAAATATTTATATAAAAGCACCTTAATTCCGAAGAGTCAATGCCTTTTAAATGAGGGACTGAAACTCTCTAGCTAATCACTTTTGTCAATAAAACAGCTCTTTCATAAGGCAATTTCTCAGGAATGCAACCATCATGCACTTACAAAGAAAGAAGCTACACAGGTAAAGTTGTTTAAAATTCTACAAATGGAAATCCACAACAGCTAGCACTTCCATGCTTTGCCAAATGTTCAGTTACTCACTGTCAGATCTATTATGTTCTAATTCTTTGAAAATTAAGTATCTACTTATGGTTTGTACTCCTTAACGACCGTATTTGATCATGCAGATTATTATTAGCCAACTGGGCCAGAGAGCAGTTCACTCTCCGCATGTGTCCACAGCTGGGGAGCTGTTCCTTCTCCTAAGGCTAACCTATGTGTTGGATCTCTTCCCAACTCCAAGCAAGCCCTTGCTCTATCCCCCTTTTCTCCAGAATTCTCACCTTCTCTCTTTCTCGTAACTCTCCCCACACCATGAAGTCTTTGCCACTTTGGAAAAACAAAACCCAAAGACACAGCCCTGACTAGCTGCTTGCTCCGTCTTCTCTCTCAACAGCGATTCAAGCACTGCTCCGTGGCTCATTTCCTCTTCCCACCCCTGCCCTGCTCCGCCCCTGGTGGGAGGACTGCTCATGCCAAGACCAGTCACTGGCAACTGCCTAACTTAAAAATCCCACGGGTCATCTCTAGCCCTTGCTCTCCTCGACCTCTCAGCAGTAGCTGATACTGCCATCCACCCCTTTCTTCTTGAAACTCTCCCTTCTCTTGGTTTCTGTGAGGACACTAGCTTCTGGTTTCCTTCCTCAGTCGTCCTGGACCACCTCTCTGCCTCTCTGACACTGATGCTCACCAGTGTTCTGTCCCCAACCTTCTCTAATTCTCCCGGAGCATCCTCATCCAGAGCTGTGACTGCCACTCCAGAGAAGCATTTTTCAGTCACTTACTGGACAACTGGACAACTTTACACAGGCTTTCCATAAGCACATCAAGTTCTACTTTTCTAGTACTGAATCCACCCTCCTTTCGCAAAAATGTGCTGCTTTGTTTCCCAAAATTCCCCAAGTGGTCAGCACCACCATTCACCCAATGGTCAAGCCAAAAATATAGACATCATTCTTCTCTGTCACTCCCCTGATAAGTTTACCTTCAAAGCCTGTTGCTTCTGCCTCCAAAACCTCTCTCACATCTACGCTTCTCTCTCCCATACCCTACCACACTCTCCCCTGGCTCCCACACTGCCAGTGGCCCACCAGAACTGTGAGCCTGTTCCGCTATCCTCCACCCTGCTGTCAGGGTAAAGCTCCTGAGACACAAATCTAATCATACTACTTCCTTAATTAAAATTTGTCAGGAGGTCTCCACTGCAGCTAAGATCAATCCCCAAACCCTTACCAACGTTCATAAGGCCCTTTATGATCTCGTCCTAGGGCCCCCAAATGTACTCTAATCACATGGAATTACATGCAGTTCCCAGAGTGCACCAAGCTCTTTCATGCCTCTTCTCCCCGGAATATTCTCTTTGCCTCAGCAGTCTTTCTTCTCAGAAATCATCCTTAAATCTCAGGCATAAAGACAGGGTGTGTGTGCCAGTCATTACCCTGGAAAAACATCCAGTGGAGGCAAGCCCTGCATGAAGAGCAGGCAGTCAGTGGCACAGAAGTGGAGACAGCTCTTGACGGTCACCACGCTGCTGCTTCTCCTTCACCATGACCACAGCAACGCCACCTCCTCCACCTCCTCTTCCTCGACCGCCACCTCCATCACCACAGTCGCTACCATTCATGGGGGGCTCACTAAATGCTGGGTACTGTCCGGACTCTTTCTTTCTTTCCTATTTGTTCTCGGTCCTCCTGTTCCCTAACTTCTCTTTTCCCCCACCGTGTCCTGCTCCCCCATCCTCTTGTCTAAGCTAAGTTAGGGGCTTAATTTTTAGAACAAATACACACTGTAAAAAACCCTAACATTATATTTTTCACACTGCTCTGTAAAATAACTGGTTTTATTATTTGCTTTCCCTTTTAGATGGTGTTGCATTCATTTTTGTACCCCCAACATCAATAAGAAATTTTTAATAAACAAATGAATAAAAGATGAAATACCAGAGAGTCATTTTATAACACACTGAATAGAAACATTGTTTCAGATTTTTCACTCAATTTTTTTCCTGACTCTAGTAGTATTACGTGCTAATGTCGAAGTCTGAAATAATTACGGCAGCAAACATTTGAGTGTTAACTATGGGTCAAGCACCACTTCAAGCACTAAACATAAAGTTATCTCAGGTACTCCCAACAACACTGTTAAGCCTGGTGACATTAGCTCCAATGCAAGCACTGTAATCATAAAGAAAAAAACAATTCCCTATGGTTTCGTCACCCATTGGCAGGTACTATTAGCATAGTGACTTATTTCCTTCCTATTTTCATCTTACCAAACTTGATAGTTTTTGGGCTGTTCCTCAATTATTGCCGTGATGTAGTTCATTTCCTCATGTAGATCCTTTTGAAGTGACTTTAAGAGAACTCTCCGAAAATGCCTACAGCAAACATCAAGCATCCAAAGTCTCATTACTCCACATAAATTGCCCAGCCACAGTATCAAATGAAGTCACAAGACAACAACATAGACACATTTTTGGTAGGTATTCTATATAACCAGTAATTTAGCAACTTAACTGCTTGTCGTTGTCCAAACTCATACAACTATGTGATGAACGGAAGAATCAGGCATTTTGAAGCAAAATAGTGAAACGCAGCAAATGTGAGACAGAAGAAAAGACAACCAACAAATGATTATTTCCAGGTAATACTCTGGTTACTAGTGTTCTATTACACAAGAATCAAAAACATCTCTTTCCCCATATGGTATAACCTGTTCATTTAGATACATTACTCATATAATAAATTAATTTCATTACAAACATTATATTTTATTTTTAGAACCACCCTAAAAATGTTACTTATAAATGAAACAAGTTTCTCTTTAGTTTTTTCACAGGTGAAGTCAAACCATTAAAAAAAACCTTTTCCCTAAAGACATGATTAGTTCTAGTCTATTTTCACTTCAAAATTTCAAAATATTCCAACTCAATATATAATGAGACAAAAAACTACTTTATTTTTTTATTTTCTTTTTTTTAATACATCTTTATTGGAGCATAATTGCTTCACAATACTATGTTCGTTTCTGCTGTATAACAAAGCGAATCAGCCGTATGTATACATATATCCTCATATCCCCTCCTTCGTGAGCCTCCCTCCACCCTCCCCATCCCACCCCTCTAGGTGGTCTCAAAGCACCAAGCTGATCTCCCTGTGCTATGCTGCTGCTTCCCACTAGCTATCTATTTTACATTTGGTAGTGTACATGTCGACGTTACTCTCACTTTGCCCCAGTTTCCCGACCACCCCGTGTCCTCAAGTCCATTTCTATGTTTACGATTTTATTCCTGCCCTGCCACTAGGTTCAGCAGTACCAATTTTTTTTGATTCCATATATATGTGTTAGCATACGGTATTTGTTTTTCTCTTTCTGACTTACTTCACTTTGTATGACAGACTCTAGGTCTGTCCACCTCACTAAAAATAATTCAATTTCGTTTCTTTTTATGGCTGAGTAATATTGCATTGTATATATGTGCCACATCTTCTTTATCCATTCATCTGTCGATGAACATTTAGGTTGCTTCCATGTCGTGGCTATTCTAAATAGTGCTGCAATGAACATTGTGGTACATGTCTCTTTTTGAATTATGGTTTTCTCAGGGTATATGTCCAATAGTGGGATTGTTGGATCACACGGTAGTTCTATTTTTAGTTTTTTAAGGAACCTCTATACTGTTCTCCATAGTGGTTGTATCAATTTACCTTCCCACTAACAGTGCAGGAGGGTTCCCTTTCACCACACCCTTTCCAGCATTTACTGTTTCTAGATTTTTTGATAATGGCCATTCTTACTGGTGTGAGGTGATACCTCACTGTAGTTTTGATTTGTACTTTGCTAATAATTAGTGATGTTGAGCATCTTTTCATGTGCCTCTTGGCCATCTGTACGTCTTCTTTGGGGAAATGTCTATTTAAGTCTTCCACGCATTTTTTTTTTTTTTTTTTTTTTTTGCGGTACGCGGGTCTGTCACTGTTGTGGCCTCTCCCCTTGCAGAGCACAGGCTCCGGATGCGCAGGCTCAGTGGCCATGGCTCACGGGCCCAGCTGCTCTGCGGCATGTGGGATCTTCCCGGACCGGGGCACGAACCCGTGTCCCCTGCATTAGCAGGTGGACCCTCGACCACTGCGCCACCAGGGAAGCCCTTCCACACATTTTTTAATTGGGTTGTTTGTTTTTCGATATTGAGCTCCATGAGCTGTTTGTATATTTTGGAGATTAATCCTTTGTCCATTGTTTAATTTGCAAATATTTTCTTCCATTCTGAGGGCTGTCTTTTCGTCTTGATTAGGTTTCCTTTGCTGTGCAAAAGCTTTTAACTTTAATTAGGTCCCATTTGTTTATTTTTGTTTTTATCTTCATTACTTTTAGGAGGTGGGACAAAAAAGATCTTGCTGTGTTTTATGTCAAAGAGTGTTTTTCCTATGTTTTCCTCTAAGAGTTTTATAGTGTCTGGTCTTACATTTAGGTCTTTAATCCATTTTGAGTTTATTTTTGTGTATGGTGTTAGGGAGTGTTCTGATTTCATTCTTTTACATGTAGCTGTCCAGTTTTCACAGCACCACTTATTGAAGAGGCTGTCTTTTCTCCATTGTATGTTCTTGCCTCCTTTGTCATAGATTAGGTGACTATATGTGCATGGGTTTATCTCTGGCCTTTATATCCTGTTCCATTGATCTATATTTCTGTTTTTGTGCCAGTACCATACTGTCTTGATTACTCTAGCTTTGTAGTATAGTTTGAAGTCAGGGAGCTTGATTCTTACAGCTCTGTTTTTCTTTCTCAAGATTGCTTTGGCTATTCGGGGTCTTTTGTGTTTCCATACAAATAGTAAACTTTTTTGCACTAATTCTGTAAAGAATGCCATTGATAGTTTGAAAGGGATTGCACTGAATCTGTAGATTGCTTTGGGTAGTATAGCCATTTTCACAATATTGATTCTTCCAATCCAAGAACATGGTATATTTCTCCATCTGTTCACATCATCTTTGATTTCTTTCATCAGTGCTTTATAGTTTTCTGAGTAGAAGTATTTTGCCCCCTTAGGTAGGTTTATTCCTAGGTATTTTATTCTTTTTGTTGCAATGGTAAATGGGATTGTTTCCAGAAAATGGGTTTGCCCATTTTCTGGAGAGTTTTTGTAAATGGGTGTTGAATTTTGTCAAAAGCTTTTTCTGCATCGATTGAGATGATCATATACTTTTTTATTCTTTAATTTGTTAATATGGTGTATCCCATTGATTGATCTGCGTATACTGAAGAACCCTTGCATCCCTGGGATAAATCCCACTAGATCATGGTGTATGATCCTTTTAATATGTTGTTGGATCCTGTTTGTTAGTATTTTGTTGAGGATTTTTGTGGCTATGTTCGTCAGTGATATTGGTCCATAATTTTCTTTTTTTGTGATATCTTTTTCTGGTTTTGGTATCAGGGTGATGATGGTGGCTTCGCAGAATGAATTTGCGAGTGTTCCTCCCTCTATAATTTTTTGGAAGAGTTTGAGAAGGATGGGTGTTAGCTCTTCTCTAAATGTTTGATACAATTCACCTGTGAAGCCATCTGGCCCTGGACTTTTGTTTGTTGGAAGATTTTTAATTACAGTTTCAATTTCATTACTTGCAGTAGGTCTGTTTATATTTTCTAATTCTTCCTAGTTCTTTCTTGGAAAATTGTACCTTTCCAAGAATTTGTCCATTTCTTCATGGTTGTCCATTTTTCTGGCATATAGTTGTTTGTAGTAGTCTCTTATAATCCTTTGTATTTCTGTGGTGTCCGTTGTGATTTCTTCTTTTTCGTTTCTAATTTTATTGATTTGCATCCCCTCCCTTTTTTTCTTGGTGAGTCTGGCTAAGGGTCTATCAATTTTGTTTATCTTCTCAAAGAACTAACTTTTAGTTTTACTGATCTTTGCTATAGTTTTCTTCATTCCTATTTCATTTATTTCTGCTCTGATATTTATGATTTCTTTCCTTCTACTGACTTTGGGTTTTCTTTGTTCTTCTTTCTCTACTTCCTTTAGGTGTAGGGTTAGATTGTTTGAGACTTTTCTTGTTTCTTGAGGTGAGATTGAATTGCTATAAACTTCCCTCTTAGAACTGCTTTTGCTGCATCCCATAGGTTTTCGGTTTGTTTCTGTTGTCATTTGTTTCTATGTATTTTTTTATTTCTTCTTTGATTTCTTCAGTGATCTCTTGGTTATTTAGTAGTGCACTGTTTAGCCTCCATGTATTTGTGTTTTTTACAGTCTTTTTCCTATAACTGATTTCCAATCTCATAACATTGTGGTCAGAAAAGATGCTTGATATGCTTTCAATTTTCTTAAATTTTCCAAGGCTTGATTTGTGACCCATGATGTGATCTATCCTGGAGAATGTTCTGTGTGCACCTGAAAAAAAAGTGTATTCTGCCACTTTTGGGTGCAATGTTCTATAAATATCAATTAAATCTATCTGGTCTATTGTGTCATTTAACGCTTGTGTTTCTTTATTTTCTGTTTGGATGATCTGTCCATTGGTAAGTGGGTTGTTAAAGTCCCCTATTATTATTGTGTTACTGTCGATTTCTCCTTTCCTGGTTGTTAGCATTTGCCTTATGTACTGAGGTGCTCCTATGTTGGGTGCATAAACATTTATAATTGTTATATCTTCTTCTTGGATTAATCCCTTGATCATTATGTAGTGTCCTTCCTTATGTCTTGTAACAGTCTTTATTTTCAAGTCTATTTTATCTGATATGAGTATTGCTACTGCAGCTTTCTTTTGATTTCCATTTGCATGCAATATGTTTTTCCATCCCCTCACTTTCCACCTGTACGTGTCCCTACATCTGAAGTGCGTCTCTTGTAGACAGCATATATATGGATCTTGTTTTTGTATCTATTCAGCCAGTCTGTGTCTCTTGGTTGGGGCATTTAATCCATTTACATTCAAGGTTATTATCGATATGTATATTCCTAGTACCATTTTCTTAATTGTTTTGGGTTTGTTTTTGTAGGTCTTTTTCTTCTCTTGTGTTTCCCGCCTAGAGAAGTTTCTTTAGCATTTGTTGTAAAGCTGGTTTTGTGGTGCTGAATTCTCTTAGCTTTTGCTTGTCTGAAAAGCTTTTAATTTCTCCATCAAAACTGAATAAGATCATTGCTGGACAGAGCAGTCTTGGTTGTAGGTTTTTGTCTTTCATCACTTCAAGTATACCTTGCCACTCCCTTCTGGCTTGCAGAGTTTGTGCTGAAAAATCAGCTGTTAACCTTTTGGGGATTCCATTGTATGTTATTTTTTGTTTTTCCCTTGCTGCTTTTAATATTTTTTCTTTGTATTTAATTTTTGTTAGTTTTAGTATGTCTTGGTGTTTCTCCTAGGGTTTATCCTGTACGGGACTCTCTGTGTTTCCTGGACTTAGGTGACTATTTCCTTTCCCACGTTAGGGAAGTTTTCCACTATAATCTCTTCAAATATTTTCTCAGACCACTTCTTTTACTCTTCTTCTTCTGGGACCCCTATAATTTGAATGTTGGTGTGTTTAGTGTCGTCCCAGAGCTATCTGAGATTGTCTTCAATTCTTTTCATTCTTTTTTCTTTATTCTGTTCCTCGGCAGTTATTTCCACCATTTTATCTTCCAGCTCACTTATTCGTTCTTCTGCCTCAGTTATTCTATTATTGATTCCTTCTAGTGTATTTTTCATTTCAGTTGTGTTGTTCATCTCTGTTTCTTTGTTCTTTAGTTCTTCTAGATCTTTGTTAAACATTTCTTGTATTTTCTCAATCAGTGCCTCCATTTTATTTCCGAGATTCTGAATCATCTTTACTATCATTACTGTGAATTTTTTTTCAGGTAGATTGCCTATTTCCTCTTCATTTTTTGGTCTTATGTTTTTAACTTGCTCCTTCATCTGTGATATATATTTAGCAGTCTCATTTTTTTTTTTTTGATGGTGGGATTGTGCTCCTGTCTTACTTGTTCTTTGGCCTGAGGCGTCCAACACTGGAGTTTGTTGGCTGTTGGGTAGGGCTGGGTCTTGGTGCCAAGATGAGGACTGCTGGGAGACCTCACTGCGATGAATATTCCCTGGGGTCTGAGGTGCTCTGTTAGTCCAGTGGTTCAAACTCGGAACTCCTACCACAGGAGCTTCAGTCCTACCCCTGGCTCAAGCACCAAGATTTTGAAAGCTGCGCAGAGCAGCAAAAAAATAAATAAATAAATAAGAAGAAGAAGAAAGAGTAAAAAATAAAATTAGACTAGGAAACTAACAGGTATGTTAGAAAGAGTATAAAAATAAAAATATAGATGAAACAACCGTAAGGTAAAACAGAATCACAATAGTAAACAAGAGCAGAAGGGAAAAAAACAACAAGAGCAGAAGGAAGAAAAAAAAAAGGTAGAAAAGGCCTTGGCTGTGGAGGGTGGGGCCTAAGCAAGGGTGAGGTTTGGGCAGTGGGTGGGGCCTATGCATAGGACTCACACAGCTGGAAAAGGCCCTGGGGGTGTGGGGGTGGGGGGGGTGGGGCTTAGGCTCAATGGAACAGAAGGGGCCCAGGCCTGCCTCTGGTCTCAGAGGACGGGGGACCCGGCCTGGGAGCCCAGCTGGCTTCCTGGGCCCAAGTGGGCGGGGCAAACGCCCTCTGCTCCTCTCCTGCTCCTGCCGTCCTGGAGGGCCCCTCCTGCTGCCTCTCCTCCTCTCCCCCAGCCTCCCTCCTATGCCTCCAGGACCCACGCATCCTGGAGGGGGCTTTGAAGGGCGGGAGACCCGGCCTGGGAGCCCAGCAGGCTTCCCAGGCTCAAGTGAGTAGGGCAAATGCTGGGCACTCTGCCCGCTCCAATCCGAGCCCCCGAGGGTCCCTCCAGGCATAGGAACCCCTCCCCTCTCAGCCACCCCTCAGGGGTGCTGGTCCTGTCTGGTCTCCACTTCTCCTCCCTGCTCAGTCCCCCCACGTCCTACCAGTTCACTTGGGGGTTCCTCCCATCTCCTTGGGCTTCGAGGTCCCCCACCAGTGTCTGGCAAGCGCCCTAGTTGTGGGGAGACGCCAACTCTGTGTCTTCCCATACCGCCATCTTGACTCCAACCCCCCAAAAAACTACTTTAAAAGTTATCTCTTAAAATGAAATGCTAAATAGAGGAAATGACAGTATTCCTCTATTATAATTAGTTTAAAGAAAATAAGGCTTCACAGAGCACATACACATACAGGCAGCCTGGTTCATACGGGTAATTTCAGGTATACTGCTTTTAAGAAAACAGCAAATAAACTTAGGAAATTTTAAATGCATTCTAAGTTGCTCTGAGCTGTGTACAGTCAGGAATTTCTTACAAGCTAAAAATGTGCATATTAGAGACATAAAGTGATGGAAGATCACCCTAACAGCTCTAGATAATCCTACTAAAATGACAGTAAAGAAATAAAAAGTGTATAAATCCACAAGGATGAGGGGATACCACAGCAATTGGAAGAGGTCAACAAAACGATGGAAAATGGTAAGCTGATAAGTTTTGACTGACTTAGAAAACCAGAAAGTGCTAAAAACCTGTCAACTGAGGAAGAAAGGTTCAGAAATCAGATGTATCAGGTATTTCCGAAACTGGAAGTCAAGGGTGGGGCTGAAAACATTTTAAAATGTAGACAGAGTCCTCAGCAGCCAAGATCCTTCCCCCAACCCTGAGCAGAGAGGTGACAACATCTCCCAACCTGGGTGTGTGTGTGTCTGTCTGTCTGTCTTTTTCTTCCTCACACAGAGCTCCTAAAACCCTTGTAAATTCCTGAGTGATAAGAGCACTCGGGCATCCCTTCTACTGAGGTGATTCTGGTTGGGCTCCTGGATGGCTCCTGGTCACCAGAAAGACCAAGCCTTGATTAGAAACTTGGAATGTTCAGCCCCACCTCCCATCTTCCAGACAGGAGAGAAGGGCTGGAAATGGAGTTAATAATCGATCGTGTCCACGTGAGGAAGCCACCATTAAATCCCAACAGTAGGGGATTTAGAGAGCTTCCAGGTGGGTGAACACATCCATGTACCAGGAGGGTGATGCACCTCAACCCCACAGGAACAGAAGCTCCTGTGCTCGGGACCCTCCCAGATGTCACCCTATGCACCTTTTCATCTGGCTGTGCATCTCTGTGTTTTATCATATCATTTAATAAACTGGTAAACATAAGTAAGTGTTTCACTGAGTTCTGTGAGCTGCTCTAGCAAATCAGTTGAACCCAAGGAGGGAATTGTGGAACCTCTGATTTATGGCCCACCAGTCAGAAGCACAGGATGTGTGACTGACATTGGGGTGGGGCAGGCTTGTGGGACCGAGCCCTTAACCTGTGGGATCTGACGTTACCTCCAGGTAGACAGTGTTAGAATTGAGTTAAACTGTAGGACACCCAGGTGGTGTCACAGGGCACTGCCTGGTAGGGGAAAAATCCCACACACATTCGGTGACTAGAAGCGCCAGAAGTGAAGTGTTTTGTGGAAGTAAAGAAAACACATAGGAGAAGGAGGACTAGGGTTTTCTTAAAAAGCCTGGGCAGCAGACAAGTGGCTTTATTTTCTGGAAAAATCCAAAGCAGAAAGAAATACCAGACACAGCAGAAGGCAGGGTGAAGTAAAGGCTGGAAACAAGGAAATTTAACGCTGATACACTGAACAGCTGAGATGCCCCCCACCCCTGTCTTCCCCTGCCAGAACTGACCCCCAGAACTGTGGCAGCCAAATGTACATTCTTCAGACAGCTCTTCTTCAGAGAAACAAAGTAGTCAAGAGAAAAGACCCAGAAATACTGACATGTGAAGACGTCAAACAAAGCAGCCATGCCTCCACACTAACTTCACGGTAAACCCCTCTCGGTGACAAGTCCTGCAACACGCAGGGATGCCAAATCATTTTCCTGCTTCCACTGTAAGTATGAAAGGAGAGCCAAGAATTTACCATTCATTTGAGAAAAATGTTTACATTAAAGAGACCAAAACAAATAAACAGAAAAATGAAAACATATCCCACCCATGAAATAAACAAGATGCTATTAAATAAGAATACTCAGAGAAGATAAAAAGAGCTCTTGTAAATTAAAAATGAGTGCAGATAGAAGAGTTAGAAGATAAAGCTGAAAAAATCTCAAAAGTAAATAAAAACAGATAAAAGTAAGAAAAGACAACCTCAGAAGTACAACATGCAACTAAAAGGCATTCCAGAGAGAGCCAACAGAGGAAAGAGAGAAGACATTATCAAAAGAACATAAAAAAAAAAAAAATTTCCCAAAGCTAAAGAAAAGGTTAAAACGAAGGAATGGGAATCTTCTCAATAGAGGCTGAAAGAAACAGAAAGACAGTTTTAAAAATCTAACGGAGAATGATTTCCAATCTAGAATTCTATCACTAAAGCTCGAAGAGACTGAAGACACTTTTAAATTTACGAAACCTCAGTAACAATTTCCATCACAGCCTTCTAAGAGTTTTCTTCTATTCAAGGATCTGGTCTATAAAATGAGAGTAAAGCAGGAAAGAGAAAGATGTGGGATCTAGGAAACAGGGACCCGACACAGGAAAGAGCTATGGACCAGACACACGGTGACCAAGTCCTTGGAGAAGAAAGGAAGGAACTGAAGGGTTACCTGCTGTGCTCAACAGTAACGCGACATTCTACATGAGCAGAGGGTCGGGGAGACAGATAACTTGTTGGTAAAAAGAGAACAAAACTAAATAAAAAAGCCAATCTGTTAAAGGAAATATAAATATATGATGAAATGTGGGTCTGCATGAACCATGAACTGATTACTGTGATGGAGACAGTATAGGAGACTGAACTCTGTATCTTCCATAGCAGGAGTAATGTCTAAAGTGAAAAAATAAAAAATAATCAAGCATATGATTTAGAATATAGAGGTGATTTTAAGGAAAAACACCTAGGAATTGTTGCCTCCGGGGAGTGGGACTCTGTAATGAGAAGGAATAGAGCAGAGATTGCTATTTTTCATTCAGTCCCTGACTTTTAAACTCATATGTGGATAGTTATTTTGATAAAAATTATCGTTAAGAAAAAAGTCATCCAAACTAAAACCTGCGACATTCAGACAGGGAATATTAACGAGGTATCTTACTTACCACACTGTGTAATTGGCTGCATTTAACTCGATAGCATCTCTGGTTAGTTTAAAAGCTCGTTCACTTCTCTCGTCACGCTGCAGGACAGCCCGGAAATAATCATAAACATCCTGAACTAGAAACAGAGCATACAACTGCATTAGGATGGTCTTTCTTGTTTAAAACAACCACTATAGTACAAAATGTTGTTTTACTCTATGAGGAAGATACTTTATCGTATGTATACGATTTATAACAATACGCAAAAGAAAGAAAATCCATGACTATGACTGCCACCCTGATAACTTGTGTCACAGTCAGGATGCACGTACGGGGGTTGATGCCTGACTCCAGATCCCCCAGAGACCTCATGCATTAAAGAAAAATTAAGAGTGCATATATCCAAATATATTCACTTAGCTCTTTTTCTCACATTTGATTTTGATCAGTTTTTTTTAACTGAAAAAGTAATATACACAATGATAGAAAACTCAAACAGTACAAAAAGGTTCATGCTAAGTTTCCATTCCACTAAATTCCCAGTTCTTCTCCCCAGAAGCAACTGTGGAGTGATTCTAATGTATCCTTCCAAATATATCCTATGCACACAAAAGTATATGTTCTAATTCCATCTTCTCATTTTTTTTTTTTTTTTTTAATACAAATGAGATCACATCCCATTCTAATGTCCTGGGCCTTGCTTTTTTCACTCATACATTATTCAAGGTCGTATAAACTAGTAAATATCTCTATGGAAAACCACTTGGTAATATCTATTAAAAATTAAAAACTGGGGACTTCTCTGGTGGTGCAGTCGTTAAGAATCCGCCTGCCAATGCAGGGGACACGGGTTCGAGCCCTGGTCTGGGAAGATCCCACATGCTGCAGAGCAACTAAGCACGTGTGCCACAACTACTGAGCCTGAGCTCAAGAGTCTGCACGTCACAACTACTGAAGCCTGCATGCCTAGAGCCTGCAAGCCACAACTACTGAGCCCGTAAGCCACAACTTACTGAAGCCCACAGGCCTAGAGCCCGGGCTCCACAACAAGAGAAGCCACCGCAATGAGAAGCCCATGCACCGCAACGAAGAGTAGCCCCTGCTCGCCACAACTAGAGAAAGCCCGTGCACAGCAACAAAGACCCAACACAGCCAAAAATAAAGTGTTTCTCTAAAAAAATAAATAAATAAATAAAAACTGACTACTCATTGACCTAACAATTCCAGTTCCAGTAAGTTTTCTTACAAATATACTCCTGTATGTGCCCAAAGCATCCAAGGAAATTTACATAAGAAATAAAGAAATGAAGACTGGAAACAACTGAAATTTCCATGAGTAAAGAATGGGTTAGGTCCATCACAGTACACCCATACAACAAAATCCTATGCAGCTATTAGTAACGAGGCTGGTCTGTTATGTACTGAAATGGAACAACTGCTAAGACAGGTTGTTGAGTGAAAAACATAAAGTGCAGAGCAGCAGCTATTCGTTTAGTTAAAAATATATGCTTATTTATGAACATACGAGTTTGAGGAACAAGATGAGAAGATGACATAATTTTCAACCACATTCCCCATTACAAAGTTTACTACATTTTTCAAACAGTTGCACAGCATTTCGTTGTATGGGCACTATACCTAACTCGTCCCCTATAAATGAATGTTTAAATTGTTTTCATTCTTTCACTGGCCTATCATGGTATGTTTCTGCACACACGTGCAAATTCTGTACATCTGTAGGATGAATTCCTACAAGTGGAATTACTGGATCAAGGTTATGTGCACTGTTGATGCTGACAGACAGTGCCAAATTAACCTCTCAAAAAAGGTCTGTTCAATATATAGTCCCTCCAAGAATGTATGAATACACCGATTTTTTTCCACATCCTCACTGACAGAGTATCAAAACTTCTGATCTTTGCCAATCTCTTAACTGAAGGAACTTAGACCTTTACAAATATTAACCTATTTTACTCTCATTTCCACAAGAGAAACAGGCTTAAGAGAGATTAACAAGTTCACATGGCCCAGTGTACTTTGGAGACAGAAGTTAAACCCCAATCTAGTCTGACACCAAAGCACACACTGCTAATCACGATGCTCATTTCACTGCAGCTGAACTGCCTTCACATCACAGCACAGATTAACATAGAGAACAGACTAAGGCCCTAAACAGACTACTAAAAAACCCAGGTGTTAAATACTCCTCAATACTTGTTTTTCCACAATTAAAAATCTATGTGGACATGCTATGCTATTTTTCTTTTTTTTTAAATTTTTATTTATTATTTATTTGGCTGCGTCAGGTCTTAGTTGCAGCATGTGGGATTTCATTGCGGCATGCGGGATCTTTTGTTGCAGTGCACGGGCTCTTCGTTGTGGTGCGTGGGCCTCTAATTGTGGTGTGTGGTCTCCAGAGCGCATGGGCTCAGTAGTTGCAGTGCGCAGGCTCTCTAGTTGTGGCGCACAGGCTCCAGAACATGCGGGCTCAGTAGTTGTGGCGTGTGGGCTCCAGAGTGCAAGGGCTTGGTAGCTGTGGAGCACGGGCTCAGTAGCTGTGGCGCATGGGCTTAGTTGCCCCACGGCACGTGGGTATGTTCCCTGACCAGGGATCGAACCTGCATCCCCTGCATCGGAAGGTAGATTCTTAACCACTGGACCACCAGGAAAGTCCTGCTATTTTTCTTATAGCATATAATTTTCCAGTTACTGACAGGGTTCACAAACTTTTAGGAGGTCAATATGCATGAATACAATGTCAATATATCCTGATTTGCCTAACCATTCTGCTACTACTGGTTGTTTTCAATTTTGTTTTATAAAAATCACTACTTTAAGCATCCAATGACCTTTCATTAAAAAATTTTAAAAATTAAATATACAATACACACATGTATTTATGTGTGTGCATGCAAGCACACATGGGTATGTATACAGTTTCATTAGACTACAACCCCAAAAAAGAAATTATCAGAGGAGAGCATGAATAATTATAGCTCTTTCTGAACATACAAAGGTCATCTACTCCTAAATACTATCTTTAAAATGCTGAATTTAATTTATACCGGAGTAAAATTTAGAAACAATATAAATGGTAAATAACTATGGAATATTATGTGGTTATTAAGAACCAAGCTCCCAAATACTTTAAAATATGTAACAAAATGCTTATAACATGTTAACTCTATATACAATGTATAAGCACATTATTTTATATTCATACATGTACACATACATAGTATAAACCTAACTCTGTGGAAACATATTTTCCGAGGAGTGGAAGGCTATACACCAAATGTTAACAGTGGTTAGTTCTGGATGATTATACTCTTCTTTTGATGTTAACATCTTCAAATTTTTCTTCAATGAGCATGTGTTACTTTAAAAAATATTTTTTTTTGGCTGCACTGGGTCTCCGCTGTGGCGTGTGGGCTTTCTCTAGTTGAGGCGAGCAGGGCCTACTCTTCGTTGTGGTGCACAGACTTCTCACTGCGGTGACTTCTCCTGTTGCGGAGCACGGGCTCTAGGCCTGTGGGCTTCAGTAGTTGTGGCACATGGGCTTAGTTGCTCTGTGGCATGTGGGATCTTCCCAGACCAGGGCTTGAACCCATGTCCCCTGCATTGGCAAGGTGGATTCTTTTTTTTTTTTTTTTTTTGCGGTACGCAGGCCTCTCACTGTTGCGGGCTCTCCCGTTGCGGAGCACAGGCTCCGGACGCGCAGGCCCAGCGGCCATGGCTCACGGGCCTAGCCGCTCCGTGGCATGTGGGATCCTCCCGGACCGGGGCACGAACCCGCGTCCCCTGCATCAGCAGGCGGACTCTCAACCACTGCGCCACCAGGGCAGCCCGGCAAGGTGGATTCTTAACCACTGCGCCACCAGGGAAGTCCTCCAAAATATTTTTAATTAAAAAGAAATACATGTTCCGGGAGTCAGCCTGGAGGGCGCGGAACACCATGCGCCCGCTTGGCCGCGCCATCCGGGTGGGGACGTGCACGGCCCTGGTCCCCCAGCCAGCCTGCCTGGGACTGGGGCGCAGCCCAGTGGCTCCCCGCCCGCTCCTCTCTCCTCACGCAGCCCCTCCGTACGATCCCTGGCGTGAGGCGGCCGAGCTGAGGCGCTGAGAGAAAAGGGAAATTGCAAAGCTCATCTACAACCAGATCGACAGCATATTTTTTTTAGGACTCAAGAATCAACATTGGGCTATTTCCTAAGATTAAACCATGAAAGCCCACTTGGAGGCTGCACAGCCATCTGCACACTTGTACCTGAAAAATGGACTTTTTTCATCGGGGAGATCTCGTTCTTCAGCTAAATCATCAGAAGTGGTGAGAAGAAAAGATCCCTACCCGACCAAACTCCTCCAGACAAATTAAATCAGTCCAGCGAGGAATGGAGCTGTACAGATCATTGGCCAGATGACCATCTTCTGCTTGCACCGCCACTGAGCCATCCCTCTAGGACTGCCACCTACATGCAGGTTGCACCCAGTGCAAGGCATGCAGCTAAGGCAGGGAATGGGAGCTGAAATCCTACCCCATTCACCAAGCCGAGTTTATTGGTGCATGGCCGTGTCTGCCCAGACGATGTGGCTCCTTTTTCAAATTTTCGCCAACGCACCCTGTATGGGCTAGTGGCATGTCTGACCACCCCACTCCCATAACCCAGTCCTACCCGGAATTCTATTCCTTACCTCAGATGGATTCAAGATTTTCATGAACAAGTTAGGTTTCTTCCAAAAGATGAAATATTTGACCCAAATTGAAATTAATTTCATAGGTAAAGCTCAAAATATTACCATAGATGTGAATTATGTATGTATTTATGTATACATGTATATACAGTTATATAGATACATATGTCTATGTATCAGAAGTTGGCACAACTTAAATTTGGTAAATGTTTAATATAAAACTATTTTGAGTATTCAAAAAAAAAAAAAAAAGAAAAGAAAGAAATACATGCTCTTTGTAAACACTGCAAACAATATAAAAGTACATGCAGTCTCCCATATCCAGTGCTACTCCCCAGTGCACTGGATCTGTATCACTGGTAATGGCTGTTACCAGTTGATATGTCTCTCCAGACATTTTTCTAAGCAAATAAATGTAATCTTGCTCTTGTTTTTTAATGAAGTTGGCATAACACTTTCATTCTGCTTTTCATTTTGGCATTTCCCCCTCAGTGATATGTTCTTCCATGCCTTTGTATACACATCTACATCATTCTTGTTTCACTTTTCCATACAGTGGGCCTGGCCTAATTTACATGTCAATGCTATTTTTTTGCAGAACAGATTTCTATAAGTGGGACTAGGATACTCAGTCTTAGGGCTATATGACCCTATATAATTTAGGGTCATAAATAAATTTGGGATTATATAAATAGAATTTTATATTCATTAGATTTTTTTGATATTGAAAGTCTGTTAATTAAAAATTACAAATTTAATATACTGTCATACTCAAAGTGTCTAAAACTTATGTGCCTTTTTTTCACTCAACACTGTTTCTGCGATCTGTCCCTATTATAACAGATCTAGATCCTCTTATTGGTTATATAGCATACAATTGTATGACAATGACACATTTATCTATTCTCCAAAACACGAATATATAGCTGGTTTCCAATATTTTGTTCTTCCAAAAAATGCTGTGAATTGTGATAGCTATCACACACAGTGCTTACTATGAGTCAGCCACTGTTCTCTTATTTCATGTGTATACCTCACTCACTCTATAAAGTAGTTACTACTATTGTCCTCATTTTACACAGAAGAAGACAGAGATAATGAGAGGTTAAATAACTTGTCCAAGGTTACAGAGTCAGTAAAGTGGTGCAGTTAGAATCTGAACTAGGTGGTCTGGCTCTGAAGTGTGTGCTCTCAGCCTTCTAGTACATGTCTTCTGATGCCATAAGCCAGAGTGAACCCAGAATGTATCATGCGAAGCAGCATTTCAAGGTTGTAAGATATGAGCATTTTCTAGTTTTACTAAATATACACGCAATAGTGCTTTCTAAAATGGCTAAACATATGAAAACTACCATCTGAAAAGCATGGATCTGTTCATATGTCTCAATATCTGATATCATAAAACAGTTTAAAATTATCTTTCATTCCTAATGATAATGGATTGTCCCCCTATTTAATGGCTAACAAAATTTTTTCTTCTATGAACTACAAGTTCATACCCTTTGTTTATTTTTTGATTAGTTTCCCTGTTTCTTTAACCTTTCGTAGGAATTCCTTATAAGGTTCTGAATATCGATCCTCTGTTTATACATCTTCTCCTACACTGCTGTTTGCTTTTTAACTTATTCATGGTGTCTTCTGTTGCACAAATTTAAAATTCTGATATAATCATTTATCAATTTTTGATCAATGGGTCATTATTTCTCTCTTTTCCTTTGTGGTTTGTAATAATGATATTTATTTATTTATTTACTTACTTACTTACTTACTTACTTATTTATTTATTTATTTATTTATTTATTTTTGCGGTACGCGGGCCTCTCAGTGTTGTGGCCTCTCCCGTTGCGGAGCACAGGCTCCGGATGCGCAGGCTCAGCAGCCACGGCTCACGGGCCCAGCCGCTCCGCGACATGTGGGATCTTCCCGGACCGGGGCAAGAACCCGTGTCCCCTGCATTGGCAGGCAGACTCCCAACCACTGCGCCACCAGGTAAGCCCCTAATGATATATTTAAGAATTAAAAATGTTGATTTTTTTTTTTTACCCTGAAAAAAAAGGTTTTATTATTTTTAACTGAAAGAGAAATGAATGACTGTGTCAGTTTTCAAAAGGTACCTTATGAATCTGGAAAAGTTGTGGTTTTCATTTCTCAGATCACTAGTGAGGTTAACATCTCTTCATAGATATTTCTATTTCTTCTAGTGAATTATCTCTTCACATATAATATCTCTCACCAGTTTGGAAGTTTTGCAGGTTCATGCAGTTTTACCTTCTGATCTTTTCCTCAATCAATTCGGAGTTTTACATCTTGCCTAATAATTCCTTCTTTACCCTAAGAATGAAAGATTATTCTATTTGCTTTAGTATGTTTACAGTTTTGCTTTAGGACTTTAATTCATCTGTAATTTATTTTCATGTAAGATATGAGATAGGGATACAATTCTGTTTATATTCAAATCCACAGACAACTGTTACAAAACCATTACTTGATTAATCCATCTTTTTCATACAGATATGAAATGTCCTTTTTATCAAATATTGAGGTCCCACCTATACTGATGACCTATTTTTAGTTTCTTTATTAATCTATTTATTTCTGCACCAGTTCCAGATGTTAATTATTAAGTTTAGTAGTACACTTCATATTTGATAAGGCAAACCCTCACACTATTATTCTTTCTTTACATTCTTGACATTATCTCATAATCAGAAAAAATAATAATCGCTCTTTGTAAAAGAGGAATGATCTTGGATAACAGAGCCTTAACTGAAAGAAATATATACATAAAACGACAAAACTTGCATTCCATTTTGTTTACCCTTTCCTAGAAGAACAACTAACAATTAACATTTGCATGGCCTTCAATTTACAAAGCATTTCACATTCATTATGAAAGAATACTTTGTCAAAGAAAATAATCCACTCACTATCAGTAATATATTCCAGCTGAGCCTAACATTTCACAGCTAAAATATATTTCAAAATGCTCATGTTTCAACAACCAAAGTTTATTCTAAATAAAACAGTAAATCATTTCTGTTGTATCTCATGTGCAGATTAAACACTAAATGAAACGCACAATCACACAGTGGTTACTATGTATTATAATGTAACATTCATTATTTAAACTTAAAATATGTCCACTCTTTGGACAAAATAAAACTTTTAATCATGAAAATAAATTACAAAACCCCACAAGATTAGCTTAAGTCACTTAGATCTTTATTAGACAAAAATCTGTCATCTATCTAGTCACATAGTTGTGAATTTCAACTTTGCTACTAAGTTTGACTTACAGACCTTTCCCTAATAAAAAATAAACTTACATTTTTCACTATAGATGATCTGGACCACTGGATTGGGGCCATCATTCTGCGGCACTGGATCTATATCAGCCCATTCTGCTCTGTCCCTGAAAATACATATATTTTTCAGTGATTATATTCAAGCGTGTAAGGAAAAGAAAAAATCTGATGTTTTTTTAAAAAGGCAACAATTACACTTTAACTTACAAATAATGTAACCATGGTTGGATTCTTCAAGACCAAGTGTTGCCACTTTGTTTTACATATTAAACTTTTAAGTAAAAGAAAAATAAAATGAATAATTTTCCAATTAAAGTTAATAAGTCAATAGTTTTCAAATTTAAAGTTTTTACATAAATGCAAAAGCAGGTTTTTGTAGCAAGTACACAATAGTTTTAAATTAGAAATCAATCTAATTCATTGGTCTAATAAGGCTCTTTGGAATCAACCAACAGTTTAAAAAAATTTGAATAACAATTTTTTATTTGAATACTCTGAATAACTAGAAAGTGATATTTAAAAGTAAAAGTAATCTATCATTTTTGTACACTGAGAGGTGGTCCAGGTGGTCAGTAGAGTCTGGAATCTGTGGAACACTGGCTCTACCACTTAACTAGCTGTGTGACCCTGAGGAAGTTACTTAACCTCTCTGGGCCTCAATTTCTTCATTTATAAAATGAAAATGATACTATTACCAACCAACCTTAGAAGGCTACTTGGAGGTTTAAGTGAGATAATATGCTAAGCTCTTAAAATATGCATAATAGTAAGCATATAATACATAGTATTATACTATATATACACTATTATACTATATATACCCTAACACACACAGTTAGCATATACAATATTATACAGGAAATACACTAAATGTACTATATAGTATTACTGTATGCTTAAATATCTATGCTATATGTTATAAATGTAGCATATAATAAATGCATATAGTAAGTATTCAATGAATACTACTTCTCATTATCAATGCTAAAATAAATTACAGTGGCAACACTGGGTGCCTATAGACACTGCTGTGTAAACTGCTCAGTGTGACCAAATTTTCGTTAACCACTCTTTTACTTACATTCTTTTCCTATTACCCATTTTTCAGTTCTCTGTACTCATCAGCTATTGACAGCAAAAATTCTGTGGTATCTAGACAAATCCTAAAATTGTGCCCATTATACAAGGAGAAATCCAGGGGAAACAATTACTCGAGGTGTGAGACCTATATGGGGAGTGGCATGAGAATGGTACCGCTGTCCTTTAGGCACAGGGAAATAGGACACAGTCAAGGGAAGAACCCGAGTATTTCACAGTTCAGAGAGGAGGTCTGAGGGCTATGGGGCCACCTCAACCAACTGAAATCACTAACACTGTAAACTCCAAGAACGAAATGTGCATAGTGGCTTTCACTCAATTCATAAACAACCTACGCAAATCAGTCATCTAATGGGTTTACCTAGAACTACAGAAGAAAAAATAAGACATGAGAAAAGTAAGGACTTCTCAGTCGTCTCTGCAGGTTCAAAATGCAGCTGGGGAACCAGCATGACCAATAGAAAGCAAAGAACTAACGGGGACGGGACTGGGTGGTGGCAAAAATGGAGAGGAAAGGTGAGAAAGTTACAGCAGTACCCGACACTGCACATAGCTTGCACTAAGCACGAGGCGACGAGGGGATGCGTAACGGAGTTGAATTCTCATAGTCTCATCCTTACAGCCAAACTCGGTGCCTGGCTGACGCTGGGCGCTAGAAACACTGAATGAAAACGTCCCGGTCCCTAAAGATCTTACGCTAGCTCTCTCCGTTTCCGCAGAACAAACCACGGGAAGCCCCGTTTCTAAAGCGAGCCAATCTGGACCTTCTTTGCGGTCCGACTGCACCCAAGCCCTTTGGCATTCGGACTACAGCAGGCCAGCGCTGTGGGTTCCGGAACCTCCACCGCCCAGAACGGTGACAGCGCGGGCCCCACCCCGCCGCTCCCGGCCGCCGGACGGCGAGGACGCGCTAGCTTCTGCCGCAGCCGCGCCCCGTGCAGCGCCGCGCGCGGGGGAGGGCCTCCCGCCCCGCGACCATGCCGTGGGCGTTACCTGTACAGGACATAGGTTGGCGAGTCCAGGCTCAGGAACCCGTCGTCCATAGGGGACGCCGCCGCCTCTTCTTGCGGCAGCTGGGGCGGAGGGGGATGCGGCTGGGGCGGCGGCGGCTCCGGCTGACCTGGCTCCCCGCCCTGCGCAGCCTCCCCGACGCCGTCGGCGGCCGCCATCTCTCCTCGGCTCCCAGCGGAGGAGGTGCCGGAGGCCCCGCCCCTGCCCCGCCCCTCTCACGGCTACTTCCGGTTTTTCCGCTCCTACCATAGAGACGCGGGCCGGAATGCCCAGCGCCCGCGCCTGCACCCTGGCCTGGCCGTCCCTGTTGGGCGCGGTTCTGCACTTCGGGCTGCATCACGCCACCTGAGGCACCAGGTTTCCCACTCGTCTTGTCCGCAGGCCTGTCCGAAGGCTTGTAGCTGGTGCTTCGGAACGTACTAGTGTTGTTAGTTGTTAGTGTCGGCGGGAGAAGCTTGGGAGCCCTGGATAAGCAGCTGGCGCCCGTGCTCCGCGTTAGCCATCCAAGGGCATTTACGCTCCTTGCACACATTTTTTTTTTTTTTTCTTTTGGATGCTGAGTTTATACCGCAGAATTTCAGTAATCCAGGATTTTAGTCTTTTGAAATTAAAGTTCTAATTATGCAAGGAACATGGGTATACATTATAGGAAAGGTAAACGTTTAACACTGACTACCTAGTATATGCCGGGCTTGCTCATGGCACAAAATAAACTCTGCAGTCACGGGCTTTGCATTCTAGGGGAGGATAGCAGAATACGCCCCCAAAAAATGTATGTAGGAGTACAGGACATGCCACTCCACAGATGCTGCTTTGGTGTTTTGGTTATTTTGAGCTGTTGGCACTTGAAAAACAGTAAATGTGGGGGGAAGCTTCTCCGAACTCCCTTACATTTCTAAAGACAGACCCTCCAAAAGGAACTCAATTGCCGTTAAGTCCCCTCCCTGGGAGTTTCAAGAGTGGAAGTGGACGCCACACCCTGACAAGTTTTGTCAAATTGTCACATCTCCAACCTGTTCTTCTAAGGGCCCGTTCATCTTTCCTAAAAACCTTTTACTCTCCCCCAAGAGGCCTTCATCTCCCATCCCCTTTCCTTATTAAGGTGGTATTTAAGCCTGAGTTCTAAGCCATCTCAGGGAGTTGCTAATTTTTCTCTGGGTATCTCTAGGTATTTTTCTATTTTCTCTAGGTATACACAAGGTATACATGTTAATAAACCTCTTTTTGTTTTTCTCTTGTTAATCTGTCTTTTATTACTGGGGTTTCAACCAAGAACTCAGAAGGGTGGAAGGAAAATTATTTTTCACCTTCAGCAGTAGATTTTCAGGAAGGCTTTTCAGGGGCTGTTTGAGCAGAGACCTGTGAGAGGAAAAAGCATACCAGTCAGAGAACAGGAAGTGCGTGCTTGGTGCGATCTTGGTTCGGCAAGGATGCCAGCAGGGCTGAAGGCCTGCGAGTGAAGGGAAGGAACTGGAGGGTGATAAGATTGAAGAAGCAGCCAAGGATCATGGTAAGGATTTGGATTTTTATTATTTTTATTGTGGTAAAAAATAGTCATAACATGAAACTTGTCTTTTTAATCATTTTTAAGTATATAGTTTGGTGATGTTAAGTACATTCACATTGATGTGCAGCCATGGCCACCATCCATCTCCAGAACTTTATCATCTTCCCAACTGAAACTCTGTCCACATAAAACACTCCCCATTCCCCACCCAATCCCGCCCCGGCCCCTTGTAACCACTATTCTACATTCTGTCTCCGTGAGTATGACTATTCTAGGTCCTCATGGAAGTAGAATCATACAGTATTTGTCCTTTGGTGTCTGGCTTATTTCAGTTTGCATAATGTCCTCCAGGTTCATCCACGTTGTAACACGTGTCAGAATTTCCTTTTTAAAGGCTGAATAATATTCCATTGTATGTATAGGCCACATTTTGTTTATCCAATCATTTGATAATGAACATTTGGGTTGCTTTCACCTTTTGGCTGTTGAGAATAATGAAATACCTGTTAGAGACCCCGCTTTCACTTTTGGGTATTTACCCAGTGTGGGATTGCTTGACATACGGTAATTCTATGTTTAGGTTTTTGGGAACTGTTTTCCACAGCATCTGTGCAAGGGTTCCAGTTTCTTCCCATACTCACTGATGCTTGTTTCCTGGTTTTGTTTTGATAACCATCTGAATGAATGTGAACTGGTATCTTCACTTCACATTTCCCTAATGATTAGTGATGTTGAGCATCTTTTAATGTGCTAATTAACATTTGTGGGATTTGATTTTAAGTGGAAATTAGTGGAAGGTTTTGAGTAAAGGAGGGACATGTGATTTACATTTTTAAAGGATTATTTTGGCTACCATGTGTGAAATACACAAAGTAGAAAGGCAAGAATGGAAACAGATGAGTGGAAAGCTATTGTAGCAGTCCGGGCAAAAGGTCAAAGTGTTTAAATTATGCTTCACAATTCACTGATCAATCATAAAGTCATTTTAGTGGGTCCTATGGTGGACAAGGTGACCCACCAGTCCTCCTCCAAGGAGGAACTTGCTGCCCAGCTTTGGGGAGTGCAGTCAGCAGCCAGCCTCCTGCGTGGCCTGAGGACAGCCCACAATGGACTGCTAAGAGACAGAGGGCCTCTTAGGTGTGAGGGCCCAGCCATCGCGGCCTGACGGGGATCACTGACAGGTGCCACACGGCTTCCACCTGGGAGGCTGAGACCTCACAGGCCTTGCAGTTTGACCACACGGGTGTTGGTCCCAAGTTCCATCTTAGTATCTGATTCCATGACCAGCATTTTTTGGAGTGTTTAATGAGTATTTCAAAAACTGAAATACAGTGGAATAGAAAATAGTGCACAGTGCATTTAGAAGAAGAAAGTAATTTTTGGTGAAGTTTTTTTTTTTTTTTTTTGCAGTACGCGGACCTCTCACTGTTGTGGCCTCTCCCGTTGAGGAGCACAGGCTCCGGACATGCAGGCTCAGCGGCCACGGCTCACGGGCCCAGCTGCTCTGCGGCATGTGGGATCTTTCCGGACCGGGGCACGAACCCATGTCCCCTGCATCGGCAGGCAGACTCTCAACCACTGCGCCACCAGGGAAACCCTGGTGAAGTTTTTTTAAACTTATATATGTTCAGGTGTAATGGGTCATGTTGTAAAATGTATTTCTTACCGTGGGTCGTGGTCAACAATTTTAGAAAACAATGGACTGTATCAGTTCAGTTGGAGGTGATGAGCAGTGTATGGATTCTGGATGTTCTTTGAAGGTTAATCTGATAGGATTTGCTGACAGCTTAACTGGATGGAGGATGCAAGACCCAAAAATAGTTAAGAATGACTCCAAGGTGACAGTTCCTTTTGATCAGAGTAGACAAAACTCCCTTTGACCATCCAATCCTGATTTAGTTCAGTTGTTCACTGTGTTCTTTCCCTATGGATTTACATCCATGCATATATTTCTGGTGGCTTTAAAAGAAAAAAAAAAACAGAGTCATATTTATTTGGCAAATTTTAGTATTGAATGGATATAGATCTTTCTGGGCTACAATACAGCTTCTCTGTCCTTCCTGATCCTTTGATATGTATCTCTCCAAACCGCAATAACCTAATAACTCCTCCAAACTCTAATAAATCACAGAACATATTCTTTTTTTAAAAATAAATTTACTTATTTATTATTTATTTCTGGCTGCGTTGGGACTTTGTTGCTGTGCACGGGCTTTCTCTAGCTGCGGTGATTGGGGGCTACTCTTTGTTGCAGTGCGCGGGCTTCTCATTGCGGTGGCTTGTTAGGGAACACAGGCTCTAGGCACACGGGCTTCAGTAGTTATGGCACGTGGGCTCAGTAGTTGTGGCTTGCGGGCTCTAGCGTGCAGGCTCAGAAGTTGTGGCACACAGGCTTGGTTGCTCTGTGGCATGTGGGACCTCCTGGACCAGGGCATGAACCCGTGTCCCCTGCATTGGCAGGCGGATTCTTAACCACTGCACCGCCAGGGAAGTCCCAGAACATATTCTTTAAAGTTGTCAGTTATAGGAAAGGAAAATCAATGACTGCTGCCACTATTTCAAGATAGGTACCCTACACCATTAGCTCTCCCATCAAACCAGTACAAATAAGAATACAATCTGAGTAAAAAAAAGACTGGCTGATCCTCTTTCAAAACAGCTGGATACCTGTCAGCACATGGATGTTCTAAACCTGTCATTGTCTTCTAGATCCTTGCAATGTGCTTTGAATTGTGCACCAACACTCCTGCCTTCTTACCAATCCCTGAGGATATCAGAAGCAGTCTACAGATGCTTGGTGAAAATACGATCAGAAAAATGAAAGCCAGAGAAGGGAAACTGTAAGACAGGGTAGAAGAAAGTCATCACCCCAGACAAGGGACAGATGGGATCTGGACGAATATCCATAAGGACACACAAATGCTGTCTCATTTGAGACCAAAAAAACCCTATGGAGAAGCAGGGCAATTGTTGATTCTCCACTTTACAAGTGAGAACCTGAGCCAGGCCTGACGCACTTGTTACAGAACATGGAGAAGGGTGACAGTTAGGAAATGGACACTCATGAAACCCATGCCTGCCTCCCCAGTTTCAAAGGGTGCCTTCCTCTGTCCAGTATTTCTTAACCCTGGCTGCATCTTAGAATCACGTGGACAGTTTTAACGAAACTCCAGTGACTGAGCCCCAGCCTCAGGGATTCTAATTTCATTGGCTGAGGGTGAGGGCTTGGCATCAGCATACTTTAAAAGCTCCCCCCATAATTCTAAGGTGCAGCCCAGGTTGAAAACGACGGCTCAATGAGTCCACAGTACAGACTGCTGCTATGTCATCAGGGTTTCTGGGGAAAGTTAAGATGCCACAGTGCTAGTGGGAGAGTGTAGGCAGGGTTGATCAGCAATCAGTATGTTGTGCTAAATACAGAAATCAACCAATCAATGAACAATTTTTTAAAAATTACCATTTATTATACAAATAAACTAAATCACAATGTGTGTGTAAATAAAACTACTTAACAAGTGATATAAGTTGTAGTGCAAATTGTTCATCAGTTTTTTATTGAGGTATATTTTACCTATCACAAAATTTATCTCATTCATGTGTACCATTCATCATCTGTTTTTGACTTCTTGGGAATTATTGATATGAGCTTCTCATTGGTAGGGCCGTCACTAGCTACATGATGCTCTCAGTTTGA